ACCCTACAAGAGCCTCCAAATTGCTTACTTTTTTAGCTAGAATGGCAGAATGACCATGGACCACTAGGTTATTGTGATTTGCTCAAGTAAAGTGGCTTCCTAGGCTTCATTCATTGGCTGCCTTGTGATTCTGCCACCTTAGTCTTTTTCTTTAATAACCTTCTCACCATTAGTACAAACGCTGGTTCTTATGGCTATTTTTCTCCAGCAAACTGATTGCAGGCTATAAAGATGTTCAATAGCAATTAGGTTTTATTGTTCTCATCTCACTTATGTGTATAGGAGCCATCGAAATGTAAAATGCACATCGCCTCCAACTTAGCAATTCCCCTTCGAGGAATTCATCCTGTAGATGTGTTCACATGTGGGTGCGGGACATATGTACCCGGAGACTAATTGGCAGCATGATTTAAGATTAACAAAGCAAAGGGCACAACCTGAATACAAGATGAATTAAATAAAAACTGACGTATCCATAGAACATACAGCTAAATAAGAGCAAGCAGGGAAAAATCCATTGATGTGGGGCAACTGGTACAAAAAGCAAGGTGAGAACAATGTCTCAAGCTTACTAGCATGTGTCAGTTTTTAAAAGGGAGGACAGGGATCAAGAGTGTCACTCAGTGGTAGGGCAATTGCCCAGTATGCACAAAGCCCTGGGTTCCATTCCCAGCACAGCCAAAAAGAAAAAAAAATACATCTATACACACACGTGGGTAGGTCTCTCTCACACACACACACACACACAGAGCTTCTGAACCAATAACAAAAGAAATAGATAAAGGCAGTTGCCTCTAGGAAAGGAAACTGAGATGACGTGGGAGCAAATAAGAAATATTTTTACACCAGGGCTTAACTTTTTTAAATTTTTTTTTTTTTTAGTTGTAGTTGAACACAATACCTTTATTTTATTTATTTATTTTTATGTGGTGCTAGGCAAGCACTCTACCACTGAGCCACAATCCCAGCCCCAGGGCTTAACCTTTTTTGTTTACCCTGAGTTTACAAATTTATTTAATGAGTGTATACACATGTGCACATGCACACACGCACAGAGAATAAAGAATAGTCATCAATGCCGAGTGTGGTAGCACACACCTGTAATTCCAGCTATTCAGGAGGCTGGGGTAAGAGAATCACAAGGTCGAGGCTGGCCTCAGCAATCTAGCAAGACACTGTCTCAAAACAAAAAACAAAAAGGGCTGGGGGCGTGGGGTTGTGGTTCAGTGGTAGAGTGCTTGCCTAGCATGTGTGATGCACTGGGTTTGATCCTCAGCACCACATAAAAATACATAAATAAATTAATCAAATAAAGGTCCATTGCCACCTAAAAATATTTTTTAAAAGGGGGAGGTGGGCTGGGGATGTAGCTTAGTGGTTAAGTGCCCCTGGGTTCAATTCCTAGTACCATAAAAAGAAGAAAGAAAAGTCATCAAAGAATGAGCTATGCCAAAGTTATCTAACAGTGGCACCTACTGGTAAAATCACATCCTATCTCAAAGTATACCTTTAAGAAAACCCATTATTTTCCTGGTATAGCTATCTCAACTATTAGTCAGGAAATGAGTTTATATTAAAACCTCATAAGGAACTCTTTGCTGGTATTAGGACTTCTGAGCATAAGATTTGAAAGTACCATCTGGCTAGGAAGCTATGGTTCATTATGGTTTGATTCAAAGCTATAAAAAGGCATGAAGAGCTGGGTGTGGTGGCACATGCCTATAATCCCAGCCACCAGAGAGACTGAGGCAGGAGGACTGCAAGTTCAAGGCCAGCCTCAGCAACTTAGTGAGGCCCTAAGCAACTTAGCAAGACCATGTCTCAAAATAAAAATAAAAAGGGCTCAGGATGTGACTCAGTGGTTAAGTGCCCCTGGAATCAATCCCCAATACCAAAAAAAAAAAAAAAAAAGGCATGAAGAATCTGTATCCTACCATGGGATTATGTATAGCATATAATGTTGTGGAAAGAGCAAAGCAGGAAAAAAAACATGGAGAGTTTGTATCACTTACCTAAGAAGGGGAAAGGTCACAGAGAGATACGGGTCTTACGTGTGTGTGTGTGTGTGTGTGTGTGTGTGTATATATTAGTTGTAGGTGGACACAATACCTTTATTTTATTTTTATGTGGTGCTGAGGATCAAACCCAGTGCCTCACATGTGCCAGGCAAGTGCTCTACCACTGAGCCACATCCCCAGTCCCCCTTACTCATATTTTTTAAATGGAAAGATAAACCAAGAAAAACAAAAGAACAAATGGTTATCATCAGGGAAAGGAGGGAACAGGAACAGAAGTAGATTTCTTTAAGTCAGCACTTCTCAATAGGGCAATTCTGCACCTGCCCCCAGGAAACTGGAGGTATTTTCAGAGTTGGGGGATGGGGGCCTACTGGCATCTAGCGTCTCACATACAACAAAGAATGATCTGATCCAAAATGTCCACAGAACAAATCATATATCTGATAAGGAACTTGTATCTAGAATACATAAAGAACAACTTACAACTCAACAATAAAAACAAAAATAGCCCAATTTGAAAATGGGCCAAGGATATGAATATCCAAAGAATTCATACAAGTGGCCAATAAGTATCTGAAAAGATGCTCTACATCCCTGGCCATCAGGGAAATGCAAATCAAAGGCACAAAGAAATGCCACTTCATCTGGACTGGGATGGTTATGATCGAAAAGACAGATAGTAACAAGTGTTCCCAAGGATGTGGAGAAATTGAGACCTTTGTTCATTGCTGGCGGGAAGGTAAAATGTTGTAGCCTCTTTGGAGAACTCTGGAAGCTCCTCAAAGGAATAAATATAGAGATGCCATATGACCCAGCAATTCCACTGCTAAGTGTCATGAAAATATATCCACACAACAACTTGTACATAAATGTTCACAGCAGCATTATTTGTAATAGCAACCCAAATGTCCATCAACAGATGAATGGAAAAATAAAATGCATATGTCCATACAATGGAATATTCATTACCCATAAAAAGAAAAGAAGTGCTGATACATGCTACTATATAGCCAAATATTGAAAGCATTAGGCTAAGTGAAAGAAGCCAGTCACGAAAGGTCACATATTTTATTATTCCATTTATATGAAAGGACTAGAATAGGCAAATCTATAAACATAGGAAGTAGATTAATGTTTGCCCATGGTGGGGAGTGGTGGAGGACAGGAGGCTTGGGGATATCAACTATGGGGTAGGAGAGTTTCTTTTTGATGTAATGAAAATGGTCCCAAATTGATGCTGTGATAGTGACACAGATCTGTGAATATGCTAAAAGACAGACACTGGAGCTGGGCAGACAGTGCATGCCTGTAATCCCAGCGACTCAGAGGAGGTTGAGACAGGAGGATCACAAGCTCTCAGCCAGCTTCAGCAACTTAATGAGGCCCTAAGCAAAATAGCAAGACTTTGGCTCAAAATTAAAAAAAATAAAAAGGGCTGGGAATGTGGTTCAGTGGTTAAGCACCCCTGGGTTGAATTCCCAGTACCAAAAAAGAAAAGAAAAAAGACATTGGGGCTGGGTATGTGGCTCAAACGGTAGCACACTCGCCTGGCGAGCACGGGGCACTGGGTTCGATCCTCAGTACCACATAGAAATAAAATAAAGATATTGTGTCCACTTAAAACTAAAAAATTTTTAAAAAGACTTTGGATGGCATATTTCAAAGAGATGAATTTCGTTGTATGTGATGATATCTCAATAAATTGTTAAAAAAAAAAAAAGTCATGAACTGGGTTTGTGGTTCAGCAGAACACTTGCCTAGAATGTGTGAGGCACAGGGTTCGATCCTCAGCACCACATAAAAATAAATGAAATAAAGATCCATTGACAACTAAAAAAAATATTTTAAAAAATCATATTCGGTGTAGTTCTACATCACACACAACCAGAGAAGAATGAGAAAGTTATGCTCCATTTTTTGTATAATGTATCAAAATGTATCCCATCATCATGTATAACTAATTATAACATATTAAGAAAATTTATTAAAAAAAAAACACAATCACAACTATTGGTGAGTCGCTTGTTCTATTAGAGGTGGGTGCTAAGCAGCCAGGACACAATTGTGTGCACACAGGTAACTGGTGAGCAGGCAAACTCAGGCCAAGCACAATCGTGAAGAGCTTGTCTTATTAACAGTGAGCGTGGCCAAAGAAGGCAGAGGCAGGGAAAGACACGAGGTCAGGAGAAGCTTCTCAGGATGAATAGAAAGTTTCTGATAACCAAATTGTTGCTTTAGCTAAATTCTTCATTGGTTTTATTGAGATCAAAAGATGGGGGACATCTCAGGCTACATGTGTTCAAACATCAAACCCAAAGCATGGGAGGAATTGGGATGCTATGGGACAAATGAACAAAGCAGCGTGTGACAGATCACAACAGCCTTTGGGGCCCAGCCAACAATTCTGCACTGAATATTTTAGGGGGAAAGGAATTGGCAGAACATGAGGCCCAGCAGCAGAATGGTTGTCACTTTTGTTTTAGAAAGATAGATGGCCACCAATGTGGAAAATAGACAGACCGGGGATGAGTCTAGAGACAGGACAGCTCATTTATTTATATTAACTGTTATAAATTGTTGTCACAGCCAATTTAATCCTTTCCTAAACATTAAGCTTGAAAGCTGCTACAAAGAGAAATCAGTCCAGGACTGTATCTTTTCTTCAAGGCACAGCTGACAAGATAGACAACTGCGAACAAAGCCGTTTGATATAAAAATAATAGATAATAATAAATTCATATAAAAATTTAAATGTTCTGGCACTGTAAGGAAAAAATAATAATTGCCCCTTATGAGCTTAGGCAAGAGCCAGAAATGAAATGACAATGACTGGACCCAGAAAGATCAACAGGCTGAAAATGGAATGTAGCTCAATGGTAGAGTGCTTGCCTAGCAGGTGTGAGGCCCTGGGATCCATCCACAAAAATAAAATAAAGTAAAATATCCCAGAGAATATTCCAGAAAGATAAACAAGTCACTTACCATAGGAACTAGGGCATTTGGTTCAAACTCTGTGGAATTAGCATCTGAAAATTAAGAAAAGAGTTCAGTAATTTACCAATATTGCTAAAAATATTTAAGTGATAACTTTTTAAATAAATGTTTATTAGACTTACCTTTCAAATCAAGGCAGTTTCTTGCAAACTCTATCACTGCTAGTTGCATCCCAAGGCAAACTCCTAGTTTAAAATGCACACATATACAGAAAATGAACACATTTTGTATTTATTCACATTTTCCGCTCATTTGTATCTGCTTATCTCCTCCATCTAGAATGCAGACTCCAAGAGAGTAAGACTGCCTGTTTTGTTCCCTGCTGTTCCCTACTGTCCCCTCAGTGCTCAGAAAAGTCCCTAGCAGAACCAGGAAGGGGGTTAAACTACTAAGGATCTACCTTAGGTGTAAACAAGAAAGCATTGGAGAACAGAAAAGAGGGCAAAGTTCTAGAAGCTTTCCACATCTCCACCTAAATCAAGGTAGGTGTGTGGGTTGCAGAGCCACCTCAGAGGGCCTGATTTCTTCAGAGAATTTTTTTTTTGTTTCAGAGAATATTTAACAACAGTGATTTAAGAGGGAGGTTCCCTGGGCTGGGACTTCACAAGATTTCATAGCCAAAATACAGGTGTGGCCTGAGGGCAGCCTCAGGCCAGCCAAAGGGCTAGTATTTAAGGAACCTCAGGCTGCTAATCTGCAGAGCAGTTGTGGGGACTGGCACCTGCCCTGTGGGTGTGAGCATGGCAGACGGTAGGGAAGGAGACACAAAATGGAACTGAACAGGAACTCAATGATGGCATAAGGCTGAGACCTGTGTCACCCAAGGCCTGTTGCCACTGGATGCCCCCAAATCCATCTCCACATTTACTACAGTCCACCAATTCTCTCCATTAAACAAACACCAAAGGCTGGGGATATGGCTCAGTGGAAGAGCATTTCGGTAAGGCCTGGACTGCATCCCCAGCACTGAAAAAAATAAATAAATAAAATGCCAAGAAGCACTGCAGATGCTGTTATAGACATATACAAGGTATCCAGGGGATGGAAAGCAGGAAGAAATCAATACACGGGGCATGCCAGAACAAAAGTCGATAAGCAGGAAACAGCTGAGTGCTCGGGGGACTCCAGAAAGTTCCATATGGCTGGAACATAAAGAGCTGCTGTGTTCAAGAGAAACCTAAAAAGACTCACAAACCATTCTGTTCGGTGAAACTTATCTTAGAAATATTAATCATGTTTAGATGGAAACCAAGTTTAAATAGAAACATCAAAAGAAAACAAAGGCCCAGATGAGCTTAGACCAAGGTAAAACGAAACAGGTATCAAGATAACTGATCCTGTCTTCTCTTTTGAAAAGGGATCCCAAGAGCAGAGAGCCTAGGAAGCTAATCACAGAATTTGCAATGGGAAAAATAGTCTGCTGATAGTAAAAGGCAGCAAAGTCTGTCCAATCAGCTCATAAATCTGTCATCCAAAGTACAATGGAAACTAGGCTTCTCCACGCACACCCCCCCACCACATCCGACGCCTCCAACCAGAATCCCCAGCCGCAGGGTTGCCTTTAAGCACATCAACTTCCCATTTCATCTGGCTTCCTGGTACAGAGCCATGCTTTCTAATTTGAACAAGACCATTAAAAACACCCAACACTATACTTGACATGGCGTCGAGCATCTCTAGTCCCAGCTACTTGGGAGGACAAGGCAGATCACTTGAGCCCTGGAGTTTAAGGCCAGCCTGGGTAACATAGTAAAATCTTGTCTCTTAAAAAAAAAAAAGACTGAATAGGCTCAGTGAAGCACTCCAGTGAGACCACATCTCAAAATAAAAAATAAAAAGTGGGGGATGATGTGGCTCAGTGGTTAACTGCCCCTGCTTTCAATCCTGGGCACCAAATAAATAAATAAACAAAAGGCCAGAGGTGTGGGTCAGAGGTAGAGTACTTGCCTAGCACGTGCAAAGCCCTGAGTTCAATCCCCAGCACCAAAAAAAAAAAGAACCTGACCACCAAATTTTAAGAGTTGTTCCTATGACACTGGTTGCCCTTTCTCTATTATCTTTTCTAGAAATAAGCATATACATTTCAACTGAAACATACTTCCTTTCTAAACAGGAAGATTACTATAGAGTTCCACTGAATGGCTCTTTGCTTGATGTGGCAAGAGAACAGGTTGGAGTGGGAATCAGAGGTCAGAGCAAGCACAGACAGACTTCTCCCAGCCTCTTGCTACCCAGAACTTGCTAGAACAGTGGCAAGTTCTCCTAAGGGGGACAAACTCTTTCTGTAAAGTACCAGACAGTAAGATTCTGGGCTTTGCAAGCCATAGGGTCTCAAACTGTCATTCTACCACAAAAGCAGCCATGGACAATATGTAAAACAAACTGGTATAGTAGTGTTCCAATAAAATTTTATTTACAAAAATAGAGCCAAGTGTGGTGGCCCACGCCTATAATCCCAGGGACTCCCATATAATCCCAACAATTCGGGAGGCTGAAGTAAGAGGATTACAAATTCAAGGCCACCCTCAGCAATTTAGTGAGACCCTGTCTCAAAATAAAAAATAAAAAGGACTAGGGATATAGCTCAATGGTAAAGCACCCCTGAGTTCAATCCCGAGTACCAAAACAAAACAAAGACAGGCTATGAGCCAGATTTGGCCTGCAAAATAAGAGTTTGCTAACCCCTATAGCAGACTATTTGGTGCCTGAATATTCAAACCTAAGTTCACATCTTCACGATAGCAAACCTTATCGAGTGTTACCCCTAATAGGTGTCAAAAAAATCTAATTAAGTCATAGTCAGGATCAATAAATATGAGTTTTACCTAGAAAGGGAATCTTCTTTGTCCTTGCCCAAGAAATTGCTTGGAGTTTTCCCAATGTTCCTCTGATTCCAAAGCCTCCAGGCACAAGAATACCACTGAAATCAACATAAGAGGAGGGTAAAGTTGACCACCCATTATTTTTATCTTTAAACCTTGTGTTTTCAGCCATTCGTGCTTACTAGTTCCAAATCCAAAAAACTATACTCAAGTTCTATTTTCAGAATCGATTACATGATTTCATATCCTGGACTTTCTTCTTGAAATCCTCTCAATGCTATGAAGAAGTTATGACAATTTCACACCAGTGACCTTGATATATATTTTTTCTGATAGCTCTTTGTGGCATCTGAACGTAATAACTGGGAAACTCAATCCAATAAAGAATGCCACTGAAGGCCAGGGTTAACACTCCTAGGCTAGCGTGCTGAAAGCCCAGATTTTAAGGCTAAGTACTGCCCCACACCCCCCCTCAAAAAAAAAAAATATCACTGGAAGAAGAATATGAATGAAAACGGTAAGGTTCTTTTCAAAGCCCTGTTGTAAAAATGTTAAGCTCTCCTGCATAACCAGAAAGAGCTAAACTGGTAAAATCAGCAAAAGATTTCAATTGCTAATTAAATAGTTATAATGAAAATATCCTGGCTGGAGGCCATCTAGTCATTCAGGTGAAAAGACTAGAAGCATTCAAGACAAAAACCGGCAAGGTCATGCTACCTCATGATACAATGCTGCCCCCAAGAGTTCTGTCCATTACTTGTGAAATAAAACCTAGAAGCAAAACATGCAGAAAAGCAAAGAAAAATCAAGGGAAAAAGGTTGTCATTCTTGTCCTGTAGCTTTGTGTATGTACTATTCATCTCTATCTTTTGGTAGAATCAACACACCTTCCCTCTATTACAGTCTCCCCATCCTCCCCAAATAAAACTATTTCTGTTGCACACTCCGCCAACATTAATCTGGCGCATTTCAAAGCAATATTGGATGCAGCACAGCCACCTGTGAAGACAGCTATTTTAAATTACCTTTCAAAATGCACAAAAATTAGTAATTGGAGTAAATGGAATAATTAAAGGAAAAGCCATTGTGCGAACAGCCCTGGTACTCACTCAGCTTTGCATAGCTTCTGCCAAGCTTCATGGAATTTCACAGGGTCCTCGATTTTGGTGATCTGTTCCAAATCGATGGAGTCTATGTACTAAAAAAACATCCAACAGATGAAAGGAAGCTTTAAGAAAAATAAGCACTCAAAAATACTAGAACTGTCTAACATTATGACACAATTATTCAATAATTCCAGATGCTGCTCAACTTGTGATGGGGTTACAGCCTGATAAACCCATTGCAAGCTGAAAATATCATAAATCAAAACTGCACCTGACCTATCAAACATCATAGCTCAGCCCCGCCTTCCTTAAACAAGCTTAGAATATTTACATTAGCCTATAGTCATCTATAGGCAAAATCATCTAACACAAAGCCATTTTATAATAAAGCATTTAATAGCTTTTTATCAAACACCGTTCTGAAAATGAAAAACAGGGTAGTCATATGGGTGTGCTTTCACCCCATCATAAAGCTGAAAAATTATAAGTGGAATCATCATAAATCAGAGACTGTGTACTCATTATGCAACCACAGCACTGGGGCTGGAAAAAGATGCTCAGTGTTTTGTGGCTCGTAATCTTTGCAAAGATTACAAAGCCAAATAAACAGACATCTGTACTGTGGTGGGATCATGGCTAGGAGAGGCAAAGAAGAAAATGCTTCAAATAGGAACCACACCTAACAGATAGGTGAACACTGTAAGAAAAAAAGGAAAGCCTGCACAGTAGCGAGTCCCAATAACTCCAGAGACTGAGGCAGGAGGATGAGAGTTCAAGGTCAGCCTCAGCAACTTAGAGAGGCCCTAAGCAACTTAGTGAGACCTTGTCTCAATATAAAAAATAAAAAGGGCTGGGGATGGTGCTAGGGTTCTGGCTCAGTGGTAGAGCACTTGCCTAACATGTGTGAGGCACTGGGTTCAATTCTCAGCACCACATATAAATAAATAAAATAAAGGTCCATCAACAACTAATAAAAAAATATTTTTAAAAGGGCTGGGGCTCAGGCTGGGGTTATGGCTCAGCGGTAGAGTGCTCATCTAGCACGTACAAGGCCCTGGGTTTGATCCTCAGCACTACATAAAAATAAATAAAATAAAGGTATTGTGTCCAACTACAACTAAAAAATAATAAATAAATAAATAAATAAAATAGGGCTAGGGCTCAATGATTAAGTGCCCCTAGATTCAATCCAATTCCCTGGTACCAAAAAAAAAAAAAATCTCTGGAGAGATGATATCTAAAAAGCTAAGCACCAAGAATAAGCATGTGTGTGTGTGTGTGTGTGTGTGTGTGTGTGTGTGTGCGCGCGCGCGCATGTGCTAGGAGGTGACCAAGAAGGTGTTCAGGAGATGAAGGAAGGAAGGGAGAAGGCTATGAATTCTCACAGAAAAGAAAAAGTGCTGATCACTCACTCTGCACTCTAAGACCCTCAAAAGAGGCTCTGCCTAGCCAGAGGAAAGATCTGATTGGTCAGAGGGAAGTAAATGATGAAGCTGAGAAGCCATGACAGTGTTTTACACATGAAATTACTTTCAATGGACTGAATATGTGTCCCCAGAATTCATATGTTGAGACAGGTGCAATGGCACACACCTGTAATCCCAGCGGCGGGGAAGCCTGAGACAGAAGGATCACAAATTTCAGGCCAATCCCAGCAATTTAGCGAAGCCCTAAGCAACTTAGGGAGACTATCTCAAAATGAAAAAATAAAAAGGGCTAGGGATACGGCTCAGTGGTTAAGGCCCCTGGGTTCAATCCCCAGTACCAAAAAAAAAAAGACCAAATTCATATGTTGAAATCCTAACTCCCAATATGATAGTAGTAGATATCTTTGGGAGGTAACTAGGTCATGAGAGTAGAGCCCTCATGAAAAGGATTAGTGCCCATATAAAAGAGGCCCTAGAGAGCTCCCTCACCCCTTCCACCAAATGAGGATATTACCAGAACAGGATATTACCATCTACAACCTGGAAGAGGCCCCTCACCAGAACCTGACTCTGCTAGGGTCCTGATCTCAACTCTCAGCCTCCAGAACACTGAGAAATATATTTCTATTGTTCATAAGCCACCTAGTCTGTGGTATTTTGTTATAGCAGCCCAAACAGACTCAGATACCACTGAAGAGTCTTAAGTAAGAGGATGACAGGAACAAAAAGAAGAGAATTTAGAAAGATCACTGGTACAGCATGGAAAAGAGAGGGAAGACTGGTGTTTAGAAGCCAGTGGGGAAGATATTCAGGCTATATATAATAACCACACTTCTGCTATTCCATAATAATGATTTTTAAAACAAATAACCATTGTTTACCAGGGACTATTCCTTCAAGTCAGAAAGGGCAATACAGGCCAGACAGGGTGGCACAGGCCTATAATCCCAGCAATTCAGGAGGCTGAGGCAGGATGATTACAAATTCAAGAACAACCCAGCAACTTAGTGAGGCCCTCAGCAACTTACCAAGACTCTGTCTCAAAGTAAAATAAAATAAGAAGGGCTAGGGATGTAGCTCAGTGGGAAAGTGCCCCTGGGTTCAATCCCCAGTATGAAAAAAGGAAAATATTTTAAAAATCTGTATTCTATCCTACCTAATGCTAAAGAGAAAGGAATGTTCTATTATTTTCTTGTTAGGTAAATAAAATGTGCTTAAATGAGCATGAAATACATGTTTAACTGGCTATGCAAAGTCCAATTTCAGAAATGTGCCTTAAACCTGTATGCAGAAAAAAGCTAGCACAGAAGACAACCATTATCCTTGGAGAGGACTACTTAAAAGATTGACCCTTGGTTGGCATCTGGAAGCGTGGATTTCAGAAGGGTTCCCATCATTCCAAGAACTGATAAGAGTGGCTCTTTGTACCTAAAGTGTTTGTTACAAACAACAAGATTTACTCTGAGTACATGGTTCCCTCCTACAGGGCTGGAATTCAGGTACATAGTAAGCAGAGAGTACTTACATAACCAACCCTCAATAAAAACCCTGGGCACAGGCTGGGGGTGCTAGCTCAAGGGTAAAGCACTTGCCTAGCATACAAGAGACCCTGGGTTCAACCCCTAGCATCCCAGAAAAAAAGAAAAAAACCTGGGCACTAAGTTTCTAATGAGCATCTCTGGTAGAGAACATTTCACACATGTTGTCACAAGTCATTGCTGGGGGAATTAAAAATTCGCTCAATCTGTGAGACTCCACTGGGGGAGGCTTGCATCTGGTTTCCCCAGACCTCTCCCTTTGCCAATTTTGCTTTATATTCTTTGGCAGTAAATCTTAGCCATCAGTATGACCTTACGCTAAGTCCTGTGAGTCCTGGTCCATCTGAGTGTGGTTGCAGGGACTCTTTGGCACAACCTGCCCCTTTGGAATGCAAGGTATTGGACTAAAGGCTAACATATCTAGGAGACCTGGTCTGGACTCACCATCAGATTCAACTTGTGATTGATGGCCAAGGCTGAGTGTTCCAGGGCCTTAAACACGGAAGCGTAGCAGTCTCTGAGTTTGGTATATTTACCAACCAGGGCTATGGAACATGTTTTCTGTAATCTTTCATACCTGAGAAGAAAGACAAGCTCAAAGTTTATATGCATGTCATGGAACATCATTAAAAATAAATAAATAAATAAAAAACAGGCTAGGTGTGGTGGCATACGCCTGTAATCCCAGCAGCTCAGGAGGCTGAGGCAGGAGAATCTCATGTTCAAGCCCAGCCTCAGCAAAAGCAAGATGCTAAGCAACTCAGTGAGACCCTGTCTCTAATAAAACACAAAAAAGGGCTGAAGATGTGGCTCAGTAGTCAAGTGCCGCTGAGTTCAATCCCTAGTACCAAAAAAAAAAAAAAGATAGCACTGCTCCAATTTCAAGGCACTTAGTACTTAATAAAATCTTAGGAGCAGGGCTGGGGATTTAGCTCAGTTGGTAGAGTGCTTGTCTTGCATACACAAGGCACAAGGCCCTGGGTTCAATCCCCAGCACCAAATAAAAAAAAAAAATCTTAGGAGCAGATAAGGCTCATGCTTGATGAACCTGAGTCAAATCTCCCCTCCAAAGCACCAAAATCTCCTCACCAGGTTTCAAAATCCTAATAAATGCCAATGTTGGCTTGTATAAGCAGGTGCAGATATAAATCTGTGAAAATTTAAAAACATTCAAAACAAGACATTTAAAAAGCTATCTCATAAACAAGAGCTGTTCATAAATTAGTTTATAAGGTGACATTGAATAAGAAAAAGCATTCTGCTTGTCAATAGAAAACATTCCTATATTAATTTCATAAGGTGACATTGTATAAGAAAGTGCATTCAAAATGTCTCCATTTTAAATTCTTGCATTCCCAGCTGGCTCACAAATGTCTGTGTATTCATGCCATGCCTGAAGAATGGTGCTAAGAGAACTATTTAAAATATTACAAGCCATTTAGATCATTTTTATGAGAAAGTTCCATTCTATAGAAGATGCTCAATCACAATTCACCATTAGAGACATAATCCTTCATGTGGCTTTCATCAAGAAATCTGTTCAAAGAACAAGAAAAACATGTGACCTGGTATTAAGTAGGTGGAAATGTCATCTTGGGGCTGAAGATGTTTGGGGTCTTTGATGTGGCCCTTGCACTAACACCTCCCAAAAATTCCATGGTGAGAAATATCTTTCTTCTATACAAGAATACCAGGGCCAAAAACAGGTTGGGTGGAGAAAAATGCTCAATAAGAGGTCAAAACTTCCAGAAAAATACTTCCTTTTGTTTGTTTTGGTTTTGGTTTGGTTTTTGTGGGGGTTGTTTTGTTTTTTGGTACCAGGGATTGAACCCAGGGGGTGCTTAACCACTGAGCCATATCTCCAGCCCTTTTTTTAATTTTTTATTTATAGACAGGGCCTCACTAAGTTGCTTAGGGGCCTTGCTAAATTGCTAAGGCTAGCCTTGAACCTGTGATCCTCCTGCCTCAGGTTCCACAGCTGCCAGGATCACAGGCATGTGGCACCGTGCCCAATTTAGGAAAGTACTTTCTAGGAAGGTGACTGAAGTACCTACAGAAAGCTGCTAAACCTTGACCTCCCTGCTAAAGTTTATGTTGCTCTGGAGATTCCATAGCTACACACATCTCATGCCATCTCTCCCTAAGGGATTCAGATAACAGAAAGCTAGTTGATAGGAAGCCAAGTATCAGCAATGATGATGACTTCAGAGGCAGGTGACCCACACCTGGGTCCTGGCAATCACAGCTGCCTCTGCACAGCAGGTTGGCTGGGCCTTACTCCTCCTCCCTCCTCCAAAGAGAGGAGGGGCATCAGCTCTGCCCTGGGAAGGAAGCTGCTCCAGCTGACTCCTCCTTTGGCTCTTTCATGTCTGGGCTTCCCAAAGAAGGAGGAGTCACTTAGTGGTGGCTGGAACGGGTGAGTCCATGGGTCACACCTCCCAGAAAGGGGGCTGCTGTGCAGGCAATCCCTTGTGCCCTTTTTCCCTCTTGACTCGCCCTTCCCAGAACAGCCTGGTGTGCTCCACAAAGCTAACACCAGGGGGTACAGGCAAGCTTTGGGTAAAACTATAAGCTGCTGCAGGAACAGAAGAGGGAATCCACTTTGCAAGCCTATCCCCAGGCAGGTCCCAAAGCCAAGAGGGGTGCTCCACGAGCTTTCCTTCCAGTTTAACCAAGGACCCCTGGCTCCAGGCATCACTAGGCTTCCATCATTGAGGCTGCTCCTTTGAATAAGAGTAGTCAGGGAACAACATCTAAAGAATGGACATTCTAGTCAGGTGCACTGGCTCATGCCTATAGTCTCAGCTACTTGGGAGGCTGAGGCAGGAGGATCACTTGAGCCCAGGAGTTCAGGGCCAGCCTGGCAACATAGTGAGACCCATCTCTCAAAAAAAAGAAAGAATATGGCTAGGCACAGGGCCGCATGCCTGTAATCCCAGCAGCTTGGGAGGCTGAGGCAGGAGGATCTCAAGTTCAAAGCCAGCCTCAGCAACATCAAGGTGCTAAGCAACTCAGTGAGACCCTGTCTCTAAATAAAATACAAAATAGGGCTGGGGATGTGATTCAGTGGTAAAGTGTCTCTGAGTTCAATACCCAGTACCAAAAAAAAAAAAAAAAAAGAAAGAAAGAATAGGAACTGGTGGTGGAACTCAATGGTAGAGCACTTGCCTAGCATGTGTGAGGCCCTGGGTTCCATCTCCAGCACCACAAAAAAAGTGGATATCCTACATCACCATTATCAGTTAACCAATATCACAGCCCATGTGGAATTATCAACATCTCCTTTGAGTAAAGACTATGATAAAGCTAATGGTGCCCACCTAAATAATATGTCCCCCTTATGTGGAAAAAGGGTTTTTGTTGATACAACTAAGTTAGGGATCTCCAGATGAAATCATCTTGGATTAGGGTGGGCCATAAATCCAACGACAAGCATACTTCCAAAAGAAGAGAATGGGAGAAGACACAAGGGAAAGGGTGATATAAACACAGAGGCAGAGATTAGAGTGTTAGGACCATATGCCAAGGAACATCAAGGATTGCAGGAAGCCACTAGAAAGTAGAAGAGGGGCATGGGACAGATACTCCAGAGTTTCCAGAAGGAACTAACCCTATGGATATCTTGATTTGGAACTTCTGGTCTCCAGGACTATGAGAGAATAAATTTCTATTGTTTAAAGCCACACAGGTTATGGTACTTTGTTACAGCAGCTACAGTAAACTAATACAAAGACCAAACATTTGGCTTTAGAAAGCATATAAGCACCCAGGCATGGTGGCACATGCCTGTAATCCCAGCAACTCAGGAGGCTAAGGCAGGAGAATCACAAGTTTGAGGCCAGCCTCAGCAACTTAGTGAGAGCCTCTCTCAAAGTAAAAGATTTTAAAGTGGGGGTTGGCCTGGGGGTGTAGTTCAGTGGGAAAGAAATGCTGAGTTCAATCCCCAGTACCAATAATAATAATGGTAATAATAATAGAAATCAGGCTGGGGTTGTGGCTCAGCTGTAGAGCACTCGCTTAGCACTTGTCAGGACCTGGGTTCGATACTCAGCACCACATAAAAGTATTGTGTCCAACAACAACTGAAAAATAAATATTTAAAAATATTATAATAATAATAAAAGAAAGTTTAGAAGCATAAAGCTATTTTCAATAAAAGAGTTAAATACTAAAAATCCTAGTGCTAAAGAGGATCAGCTCCAAGCTACTCAGAAAATTCCTACAAAATGACAGATTCTTTAAAGCTTTCTAGAGGGCAGAGGCTTGATTATATCATTATTTATTAGAGTACCTAAGTCAGAAATTTTGCATTATTCTTGATTCTACTTGCCCCAGAAAGTCTAAAGCAGTTTCGGGGCTGTTTGTTGTTGTTGTTGTTTAAGTGAAAGTGGTGTGGGGGTATAACTCAGTGGCAGAGCACCTGCTTAGCACAGAACCAAGAAACGAAAAAAAAATATTTAAGTGAAAGGGCAAGAGTATTTCAGTCTACCATACTCAGTGATTTTGTCACAGTCAAATAATTTTAATTATGGTTGCCAACATCAGCAACCAATACTTGGTGCCTGACTCAATGTGAAGTCCTGTGTTTTCTCTCGTTAATTCCCACTAGGTGGGTACTGGTAGGCCCCTGATATGTATAGATAATATGATGAGCCAAGAGAAGTGAAGTAATCTACCCAGATTTACAGTTAGTAAGACAGCCAGAGTCTGAATCCAGAATCTACTGACCTAAGCTGCATAAGCAATCAGATAGCCTGTGACTTGTAGAGTCACACCTCAACTGCATTGAAGAAAAGAAAACAGGGTTCTGGGATTTATTTTTAGGACTTGAAATTTAAGCAAACTTGGCTTAAATTAAAATAGTTATATTAAAGCTAAAACCTGTCAGGAATTTTAATAATGATATTAACTAGTTAATAGCTGCAGAATTGAACATTAATGGTAATAGCTGAAACTTCCCACTCAACAGGATTTTCTTTAGGAAATGTTAGCCAAGTCTTAAAAACAAACAAAACAGAACAAAAAGCTTGCAACATTTAAAAAGTGTAAAACTTAATAAGGAATAAACTAGCCCGGCATGGTGGTACATGCATGTAATCCCAGCTATTGGGGAGGCGAGGCAAAAGGATCACAAGTTCAAGGCCAGCCTCAGCAATTTAGCAAGATCCTGTCTCAAAATATAAAATAAAAATGGGCTGGGGATATGGCTCAGTGGTAGAGTGTTCTTGGGATCAATCACCAGTACTGAAAGAGAGAAAAGAGAGACAGAGAGAGAAAAAGGAGAAAGAGAGAGAAAAACAAATAAAATCCTAGGGCTGGGGTTGTGGCTCAGAGGTAGAGTGCTTGCCTTGCATGTGTGAGGCACTAGGTTCAATCCTCAGCACCACATAAAGTAAAATAAAGACATTGTGTCCACCACTAACTAAAAAAAATTAAATATAAAAAAAATCCTTCCTGGGGCTGTAGCTCAGTGGAAGAGTACTTGCCTTGCACATATGAGGCACTGGGTTCGATCCTCAGCACCACATAAAAATAGACTAATAAAATAAAGGCATGCTGCCCATCTACAGCTACAAAAATTTAAAAAATAAAAATAAATAAAAATTTTAAAATCCTTCCAGAATTAAAAATATTCCTTCTAGGTAAAAATTCCTTCAATTCACTTTGGTTTAAGTAATGCAAAAATCAAAGGCTCCAGACATTTTCAGAGTACAGGAATTATTAAAGATTCTATAAGTAATTCCTTTCACATACCTGTCAGCCATATTCTTCCACTTGAAAAGCAAATTGCTTGAAGAATCACCAATGGGCAGGTCCAATCGCTCTTTAAAGTATTTAACAATGCCTTGTTCTTCCAAAAGCACAGGCACTCGGTAGGTAGAAGAAACATCATGGATACATATGACCTAATCAATAATAATAAAACACCACTCTTAGATAGATTGCCTCAAATGTGCCACAGAAATGAGACAAAACTCAAGAGACTGGCAGTTTATTTATATTGATATAAGAAAATGCAGTAACCTAAATGAGAGTCAGAATTAATACAAGGTGAGTTTGATTTAATAACAAAACTCTTTGAGTTCATTACTCTACTTCCAGAACAATGGGTATCATGTTAAAATAAAAAGTAAATATACAGCAATATCCACGGGTTCCACATATCTGATGGATATAACCAACCATGGATCAAAAATACTCAGAAAATAATATCTGCATCTGTATTGAACATGTACAGACTTTTTTCTTGTCATTATTCCTAAACAGTATTGCATAACAACGATTTACATAGTATTTGCATTGTATTTGACATTATAAGCAACCTAAAGATAAATAAAAGTATACAGGAGGATGTGACCAGGCACAAAGGTGGCTCATGTCTATAATCCCAACAGCTCCAGAGGCTGAGGCAGGAGGATCTGAAGTTCAAAGCCAGCCTCAGCAACTTAGTAAGACCCTGCCTCAAAAGAAAAAATTTAAAGAACTGGGAATGTAGCTCAGTGGTTAAGCATCCCTGGGTTCAATCCCTGGTACAAAAAAAATTTAATTAAAAAAAGAGGATATATGTAAGTTATGGGCACCATTTTATATTAAAATAGAACTTGAGCCCCACAGAATTTGGTATCCAGAGGGGTCCTAAAACCAATCACTTGAAAATGATGAAAGACAACTGACTGATATTTGTCCCCAGTTCCTGGTACAGCACTTGAAAAATTTTCAGAGTTTCCTGAGTAATAGAGTATCTTTATTATGCAGCTGAGGTGACTCCCGGTGCCCCTAGATAGCTTCAGGATGAGAATGGTGACCAGAAAAATAAACCAAGTGATTAGAGGACTGGAACTTTCAGCCACCAGCCTAACCTGTGGGGAGGGAAGAAGTTGGGGGGGGGGGAAGAAGTGGGGGGATGGGGATTGAGTTCAAACACGTGGCCAGATATTCAATCATGCCTACATATAATACCCCAATAAAAACTTTGGAAGAGCAAAGCTTGTAGGGGAACTTCCCAGTGGGAAACTATATAAAGGTACCAAGAGGGCCACACACCCTGATTCAGCAAGTCCTGTGCCTAGAACTTTCCTAGACCTTACCCTTTGCATCTCTTCATCTAGCTGTTCATTTGCACTTTTATAATAAAATAGGAACTATAAATACAGCATTTTCTGAGTTCTGTGAGTTATTCTAGTGCACTATCAAAGAAGGGGATCACGGAAGCCCCAAACTTGTAGTTAGCTGGCAGAAGCTCGGGTGGCTTGGGAACAACGGAAACTTGCATGAAGTGGGGTGGGGGGGTCTTATAAGAAAGTGAGTCCTTAAATCTGTGGCATTGGATGCTCACTCTGGGTAATTAGTATCAGAAGTGACCCTGTACTGTTGTCAGAGACTTGGTATGTAGATGCTTTATAGATCAATATCCAAGATGCACTGTCCAAGCCACCATCTTTTACGTGTGAGTTAAAGCAGTCGCACTGAACACATGCACCTTGTCTTCTAAGTGTGAGTATATAGTTTATTTGTCCCTTCGTTTATTGTCACTGCTACTATAGTTGCTTCTGTCTGTAATCTTGTCCCCTGCTCCCTTCATTTGGGTACATTTGCTGGTGCACATTGACCACAGTAAAATTAATTATACCTGTTACAAGAGAAGAATACTTTTAAATAGCAGCTGATATCTGGCTGTGGTTGTTTTTCACATTTACCCTAATGAGCTTTCAACAGCCTCTCAAATACATCCAAGGGGCTACTTGTAGTCATTTAAGGATCTGTCACATCCTAAATAAATGCCAAGAAATGTTCTGCCAACTCTGTGTTCAGTCTACCCAAGCCCATAGCTCTAAGTCAAGTGTTCTTAAGCTGTTTGAATATCATCAACTTGATACTCAGATTACAGAGCCTCTCTTGTGCATGCACCAATGCAATTCCAAGACACAAGATATCACTAGTATGGGGCTCCACCCCAATTGCTAATGAAATCTCTGCCCAGCTGCAACTCCCAAAAGTGGAAGGCATGAAATGTGGAACTATTTACTCATTTATCCTCCAGGCCAGAGAGAGACATTTTTCAAATATGGTGATGGGCCATCCACAGAGATGCCTGTGGCCCTCTTCATCACCTCCTCAGAGATACAGATGAAAACAACTTGAAATGCAGATTCACCACTACTCATGAAAAGGCTGCAATTAAGAAGTGGGGAGACTAGTTAGGTGTGGTGACATACATCTATAATTCCAGTGGCCTCAGGAGGCTGAGACAGGAGGATTGCAAGTTTGAGACCAGCTTTACCAACTTAGCAAGACCCTATCTCAAAATATATACACAAAGTACTATCTACACCAATAGGATGGGTACTCCAAACGACTGAAAGAAAACAAAAATGGTATGACAAAAGACAAAGACAAAAGAGTTCTCTATTTTTTCAAAGTAGTTCCAACTCATTTACTGACTTTGAAGCATCAGGCAGGAGGCTCTTCATCAGCCTGCCTCCCAAGATATTAAAAACCCCATTAAATGGTTTTTAGACTTCAGAGAACTCAGGGTTCATATGTAGAAAAGGTTTCTGCCAAACCTCATCCTTTTCCTGAGCACCATTATGCCACTTTATAAACTATAGCCAAGTCCCAGCCCTTGGAAACAAAAGACAATAAATAGGAGAAGGAAAGAAAAAGAAAAACTAATTTATCACAATACTCAGGTGAAAAGTTCTGCAGAACTTAGGGCCTGAGCCCAAGTCATAGTACAGTTTCTATAGTAATGCTACGAACTGAGGCCACTGTTGTGATTAGCAGAGAGAGAACAAGTGTTACTGTACTGGTGTGGCTTGGTGTGAGTTAAGCTGTACAAAGGAGAAACAAATGAAAGCAGTTAAGTGTCCAGAAGGAAAGACATGATTAAAAAGACAATTAGGAGAAGCTGGGTGTGGTGCCACACACCTGCAATCCCAACAAACTCAAGAGGCTGAGGCATGAGGATTACAAGTTCCAGGCCAGCCTCGGTAATTTAGCAAGTCTCTCAGCTTTATTGGCTGACCCTGTCTCAAAATAGTGAGAGACCTATGTGAAGTTTGTGAGTTAAAAAGCTCACAGTGGGTTTGTGCCTATAAATTAAGGAATGATGTCTAAGGAATCAGGAGACTCAAGATTGTTCACTTAAGAGTTAGGGAGCCATAGCTGGATAAGATGCCCCCAAAGCTTATGTAAGTGCCACCCAAAACAATACAATATTGAAGAGGTACTAAACTCTGGCTTCAGAAGAAGCTCGTGCAAGACAATAAAATCTGAAGGGCAGCACCAACCTGTTCAGGGTTTACGTGACAGAACATAGAAATCTTCTCCTTCACGGCCATCTCAATGGGTGTTGAACTTCGGCAGACAATCTGTCAAGGCCAGTTATGCACAGGTCAGCAAGTGGGAACTGGGATGTTCATGTTGCACTGATTTTTAGCATAACACTATATTCATTTCTTTACAGTACAAGAGATTTGGCCAGGTATGCGATTGCTCAGTTTAAGCAGTCCACTGGACTACTACATATTGGGCTCAGCACTAATATAAGGAAACAATCAAATTCAATACAAATCTACCAGAAAGAGCTCAAAATGTCAGCACATCTCTGATGAACAGAGGCAAGGCTCACAAGTGTTGCTTCATTAAATACAAGAAAAGAGCTAGATCAGGGGTTGATGAACCTTTTCTCCAAAAGCCCAGTTGGGAACTATTTTAAATTGACAGGTCAGTCACTGTCCTGATCCTCAGCTGTGCTGCTGCGGTACAGAAGGAGCTATAGACAATATGGAAATAACTGAGTGCATGCCAATAAAACTTTATCTCCAAGTTGGGCGCAGTAGCTCATGCTTGTAATCCCAGCAGCTGGGGAGGCTGAGATAGGAGGATCACAAGTTGAAAGCCGCCTCAGCAACTTCAAGGCAGTAAGCAACTCAGAGAGACCCTGTCTCTAAATAAAATACAAAATAGGGCTGGGGATGTGGCTCAGTGGTCCAGTGCCCCCGAGTTCAATCCCCCATATGAAAAAAAAAAAAAAAAAGAAGCCAGCCTCAGCAACTTAGTGAGACCCCGTCTCAAAATAAAATATAAAGGGCTGGGGATGTGGCTCAAGCGGTAGCACGCTTGCCTGGCATGCGTGCAGCCCGGGTTCGATCCTCAGCACCACATACAAAGATGTTGTGTCCGCCGAAAACTAAAAAAAAATAAATATTAAAAAAAAATTCTCTCTCTCTCACTCTCTCTTTTAAAAAAATAAATTAAATAAATAAAATATAAAAAGGGTTGGGGATGTGGCTCTGTGGTTAAGCACCCCTGGGTTGGATCCCTGATTAAAAAAAAAAAAAAAAAAACTATTTACAAAAATAGGCAGCTAAATTGAGAACTATTATTTGCAGATCCCTGATCTAGATTATTGGTGATAACCAGATTATGTGCTACAAGGCCACACCGCTCTTTAGACTAAAATAACAGTAGTGGGGCTGGGGATACAGCTCAGTTGGTAGAGCGCTTGCCTCACATTCACAAGGCCCTGGGTTCAATCCCCAGCACCACCAAAAATAGTAATAATAATAACAATTGCAGTGATAGTCCGTCTTTATCAGGGTCACAGAAAAATCCCAGGATCCCACCTTCAATCTAAAGGATCCAGGAACCACACAAATGGCAAGACCATTGCACTTGCCCAGCTGTCAATGTGGCCAATCAAATGAGGGCCTGGAGAAGAATAAATGGTCAATTTAAACATAAGGAAATAAGCCTTTCCTGGTTCCCAGATACAAAAAGCTCATTGTCATAAGGAACCATTGGAGAACTACAAAGAACTTGGATGAGGTAACAGATTAAGGGCTGGGAGTGTAGTTTAGAGACAGAGCACGTGCTTAGCATGTGCAAGGTCCTGGGTTCAATCCCCAGCACCAGAAAAAAAAAAAAAAGATATGGAGGTCCTACTCCAAGAGATTTTAGGGATAAACTTACCCACTGTGGTTAACTCACCAGATCTGGAGACAAACCCAATCCCCTCAGCGCACGGACACTGTTTTGTGTGGGTTTAGTTTTTTGTTCTCCAGTAGCACTGGGCTAAAAAGAAATGAGTCTGTCAATACACCAGACAAGTAGCCTTTTGGACAATTAATGGCTCCCCAGTTTCAAATATAGGACACATATATCATAGAAATAGTGAGCAAAGTTGCTGTCCATATACTTATCTGGAAAGCCTACCTGTGGGACAAGACTGACATGGATATTATAGAAATTCTCTCTTTTTGCCTTAAACTGGAATTGTCTGAATGCTTCCACAAATGGCATTCCCTCGATGTCTCCGATGGTGCCTCCCAGCTGGGAATGGAAAACAAAAATAAGACACAAAGGACTCAACATTTTCCATTAGTCCAGAAGCTAACAGAATAATTCTTAATAATCTGAGCACAATGCTGGGTGTGGTGGTGCGTGCCTAACCCAGCGGCTCATAAGGCTGAGGCAGGAAGATCACAAGTTCAAGGCCAGCCTCAGCAACTTAGTGAGGCCTGGTCTCAAAATAAAATAAAATATAATAAGGAGGGCTGGGGATGTGGCTCAGTGGTTAAGTGCCCCTGGGTTCAATCCCAGGTACCCCCCCCCCAAAAAAAGAAAGAGCAATAGGACCACAGAGGGGGCAAGGTAAGCTACTTTCTACCAGTGGTTCCAATCGGAAGAAAAATTCAAATCCAGTGACAATATGAGAAAGGTGAGAATCACCTGGTTCTGTCTGAATTTAAAAATGAGCATTAGCATTCCCTCTCTCTTTCTCCCACATTCTATACACACTCACATACACATGCCTACACGACTCCTTACGGTGTTGCCTATAAAAATTGAATCATCTTATTAAAACATGCTGGCTTTCTGAAACAAATAGTACCAAAAGCCCTATGAATGTTCCTTACAGTGTAATCCTTTGATAAATGTCAACTTAATTTACAATGTGGTTCCAATAAAGTTACTTAAAGCATTTCACTTAGACCAAGATAAAATTCACATTAACTCATTCATCCTCTTTATATTAAATACTTAAAGACTATCACATGGATTTGAAAATGTATTCTCCAGTATTTGAGCCTCTACTACATGCTCAACACTATAAGCAAGGTGTTGGGAAGAATTTGAGACATGTTCTTAAGGAGATCAGAATTTAACAAGAAAAGCAAGACAGGGCTCAAGAGTAAAACTTGCTGGGTGCAGTGGCACACGCCTGTAATCCCAGCAACTCAGGAAGCTGAGGCAGGAGGATGGCAAGTTCAAGGCCTCTCTTAGCACCTTTCTCAAAATAAAATTTAGAAGTCTGTGGATGTAGCTCAGTGGTAGGGCACCTCTGGATTCAATCCCCAGTACCACAAAAGAGAAAAAATTATCATAATAAACTTGAGTACTCAGTGGAATGATGCAGATGTTGAAGGAGGAGGGATCATAGTGAGCCCAGTTCCAGATTTCACCATCGTCTCTGGCTTCAGCTACCTGGATGGATCTGAAATCTTGTAACCCTACCCTCTCCCCACAGCATTGAGTTTTGGAGCCATTGTGTCCTTGAGACCTTAGGTGGCTCAACAATTACTCTAGCTTAATGCTTCCCAAAGTAAACTCTTGTCCCCCATCAACCCCCCCCCAAAGCCTGCATTCCTTGGTGCTTCTACATCACAGCAAAGAGCATCTCCCTCTACTGACTGAATGGTCTTCTCTTCACCCAACCTAGTCTAGTGGGTCACAGTTCAAAATCTCCTGAGAATCTCTCTACCGCTACCATCCTAGATGCACCCAGCTAGTATTGTCTTTTGCCAGGATAATTGTAATAATCTAAACCAGGGGATTGGTAAACTAAGGCCCAGTGCCTGCTTTTATAAATAAAGCCTGAGTGGCACACAGCTATGCCCATTCTTTTTGTTTTTGCAGTGCTAGAGATCAAGAGATCCTTACAAATACACAAATGCTTTGTCAGTCAAGTACACCCCCATCCCTGCCCATTCCCTTACATATTGTCTAAGGCTGTTTCACACTTAATGACAGAATTGAGAGGTTGTGACACAGATTCTCTGACCCGCAAAGCTATAAATATTTAGTATCATGTCCTTCACAGAAAAAGGTTGCAGACCTCCAATCTAAATGGTCTTCCAACTTCCACCCTGTCCCATCCTACAATGGAAGCATTTGTCTCACACCAGCAGAGTAACTATTTTTTTTAAAATATTCTTTAGTTGTCAATGGACCTTTATTCCATTTATTTTTATGTGGTGCTGAGAATCGAACCCAGTACCTCACACATGCTAGGCAAGCACTCTACTACTAAGCCAAACCCCAGCCCCCAGAGAAACTTTTAAAAATTTAAAATATGGAGCTAGGAGTATAGCTCCACCATTAGAGTATATGCAAGGTCCTCGGTTCCATTCCCAGCACAGCAAAAAAAAAAAAAAAAAAAAAAAAAAAAAGATTCAAAATGTCTCTCCTGAGCTTATTAGTACCTCAGCTCGCTGCTTCACTAAAAAATAAAATCTCAACTCCTGGGGCTGGGGTTGTGGCTCAGTGGTAGAGTGCTTGCCTAGCATGGGCAGTACCCGGGTTCAACCCTGAGCACCACATAAAAAGAAATGCATTGTGTTGTGTCCATCTACACCAAAAAATATTTAAAATCTCAACACCTCCAGGCCCTTCATGATCCGGCCCAAGTCTCTAATCTTACCTGTTCCCCTAGCCCTACTGTCTGCTCCAAAATGAGCCACACTCTTTCTGCCCTTAAGGTCCCCCAGTGTCCTTCTTCATCTACAGCTTGCTCTTTTTTTTTCTTCAGCCAGAAGAGAGATGCATCCCTCAGTAAAGCTGACCCTGAACACCCACCAAAAGCAACCTGCATCCCCACAAGGCCACATGCCTAGCACCCAGCATGGTGCACTGAGAGATTAGATTAGTGATTGAGATGTAACATAAATTCTAAGTAAGTGTTCTAGTGAACTGTTACCAAAACTACAACAGAATCAAACTAAGAAGTCTAAGACCACCCTGATGTGGAAGAGATTATTCCTTACTAACTTTAATTCAAATAACAAAACATAATTAAAATTCCAAATTCCTGAGTATGGAAAGAATAAGAATATATGGTCAGGTGCAATGGCACACACCTGTAATCCCAGCAACTCAGGAGGCTGAGACAGGAGGACCACAAGTTCAAAGCCAGCCTCAGCAACTTAGCAAGGCATTAAAGCAACTTAGCGACACCCTATCTCAGAATTAAAGAAAATAAAAATGGTTGGGGATTGGGCTGGGGTTGTGGCTCAGTGGTAGAGCACTTCCCTAGCACCTGTGAGGCACTGGGTTTGATCCTCAGCACCACATAAAAATAAATAATAAATAAATAAAATAAAGGTGTTACGTCCACCTACAACTAAAACAATATTTTAAAATTTAAAAAAAGGTTGAGGATGTAGCTCAATGGCAAAGCACCCCTGGATTAGATCCCCAGTATCAAACAAACAAAAAGGAATAGGAATATATGATATGACCTTTCTGTAAGAGAATCACACAATTATGAAACTCCAAGTAGCAAAAACATATCACATGCAGGCAAGAATTTGATGGGGATGGAGAGTGTAAGAGCTCACTCACTACAACACACCAGATTTTAATAAAAACGATATTTTTTGAGAAGAGGTCTGCACTTGAACTGAAACCATGTGCAGATATCTTGGGGGTTTTTTTCTTCTTCTTTCTTCTTTTTTTCTGAAGTGCTGGAGGAGGCACCCGGGACCTCACATATGCTAGGCAAGAATTCTATCACTAAGCTACACTCCCATCCCTTTTCTGATTGTTAGTGGGAGTACTCTAGGAGAGAGTACGAAGAGGCCAAAACTTTAAAACTTCAAACATTATCCACGCCTGCCCTCAAGTGGCCATTGCTGGTACAGCATTCTCTCCACCTACTGGGCAGTTCCCTTTCCTGTGCCTCTGGGTCAAGGTCACCACTGTTCAGAAACCTTCAGTTCCTCTTCTGCAGGGTTTCACTTTCCACAGTTTATTACCTCTAGTCAGCCACAGCTCAAAAATATTAAATGAAAAACTCCAGAAATAAACAGTTCGTAAGTTTAAATTTTTATTATAATATGTTGTTATAATTTTCTATTTATTATTAGTTATCACTCGACCTTTTACTGCATCTAATTTATACATTAAAACTTTATTATAGGGCTGATGCTGTGGCTCAGTGGTAGAGCAATTGCGTAGCATGTGTGAGGCACTCAATTCAATTCTCAGCACTGCATATAAATAAATGAATAAAATAAAGGTTCATCAACATCTAAAAAATTTTTTTAACTTTAAGTATATATGTGTAGGAAAATACATAGTACATACAGAGTTGATACTATCTGAGGTTTTACACATCCAAGCTAAGAATCTGCCACACATAAAGGGAGACTACTAGATTAAAAATTGTTGTTGTTTTTTTTTTTTTTTTTTTTTTGGTACTGGGGATTGAACCTAGGGGTGCTTCACCACTAAGCACAACCCCAGCCCTTTTTTTAATTTTTTCATTTTGAGGCAGGAACTCGCTAAGTTGCTTAGGATTTTACTAAATTGCTGAGGCTGGCCTCAAACTTGTGGTCCTCCTGTCTCATCCTACCAAGTTGCTGGGATTACAGGCATGCACCACCACACCCTGCTCTTAGATTAAAAACCAAAGCAGCAGCAAATTTATGGATGTTCAAGGTTGGTCTTCTCTTCATTGAAGAAGTCACATCCATCCTTGCATCCCTGGCAGCTGTCACCAGGCTAGTACATATTATGTGCTAAATGAATGGTTGCTAAACTGAAAAAGTAAATTCAAGGGCAGAATAAGAAAAAAATAAATAATAAAGAACCTAGAAATGACAAAAAAAAAAAAAAGGAATAATGTGCCAGGTACAGGCCTAAAAATGCTTGCTGCTTGTTGAGACGGAAACTTCAGTTTAATTTGAGATGTCCCTGAGGATTCTTTTGGGGTGGGTGCAGGGATGGGGTTTGTCTATATTGCCTAGGCTGGTCGCCAGCTACTGAGCTCAGACAACCCTCTGGCCTTAGCCTCCAGAGCAGCTGGGATTACAGGCACTTGCCACCACACCCAGCTTTGTCAGTAAGAATTCTTTCTTTTAATTTTTTTTTTTATATTAGAGATTAAGCCCTGGGGAACTTAACCACTGAGCCACATCCCCAAGCCTTTTTAGTTTTTATTTTGAGACAGGGTCTAAGTTATTGAGGGCCTCACTAAATTGCTGAGGCTGGCCTTGAGCTTGCAATCCTCCTGCCTCAGCCTCCCAAAACACTGGGGTTACAGGCCTGCACCACTGCACCCAGCTGTCACTGAGAATTCTTTTTTTTTTTTTTAATATTTATTTATTTATTTATTTTTAGTACTCGGCAGACACAACATCTTTGTTGGTATGTGGTGCTGAGGATCGAACCCGGGCCACACACGTGCCAGGCGAGCGCGCTACCACTTGAGCCACATCCCCAGCCCCCAAGAATTCTTAATTCTATTATGCAAGTGGAAATGTCAACAATTAAAAGTCTAAATCTACAGTATACTTCTTTATAAAAAGATGACAAAAAGAGTGAGGTACACTGGCCCCAGAATGAAACATAAAAGTTTAGTTCAAAGAAGATTCTCAAAAACAATAGCCAGGGGTTCGGGCTATTGTTTGTTCATGCTATTGTTTGTTATTCATTGATAGCATGCTTGCCTAACATTCACAAGGCTCTGGGTTTATCCCCAGTACTGCAAAATAAATAATATAAAATTAGAAAGGAAGAATTTTATCTTTCCTCAGGGAAAATTAGGAAGAAAGAAATACCCAATGAGAGAAAATTTTGTGTAACACTCTACATTATGTATTCATATTATATTGATCAGTCATATTATTACAATAGTATAATATATAGATAATATATGACATAGTACATTCATTTATACTAAGTATCAGCTGTACTACTAACAGCGGATCTTCTACATAGCGTATTATCAATCTGCAAAGGCTTATAATAACGATAACAACAGCCAATATATTCATATATATATTTTGTTTCTGAGATGGTATCTCACAATGTTGCTGAGGCTCACCTTGAACTCACAAGCCTGCCTCAGATCTCAGGTAGCTGAGATTATAAGCATGCGCCCAGCTGGCTAGAATATTTTGTGTCTGTGTTTGTGTGTGTGTGTGCATATGTTACTAGGGATTGAAACCAGGAGTGTTCTACCACTGAGCTACATCCCCAGTCCTTTTTTTATTTTTCATTTTGAAACAGGGTCTTGCAAAGTTGTCCAGGCTGGCCTCAAGCTTGTAATCCTCCTGCCTCAGCCTCCTGAATAGCTAGGATTATAGGTATGTACCATTGCACCTGGCCTGGTTAATGTGTGTTTACTGAGCACTTCCTAAATGCCAGATAAGGCCAAGTGCTTTATACTATTGCATTTAATCTTCAACAATCCTTTCATTATCACCTTGCTATTACAGTATTACATATTATCATATTATTATCAATGAGTACTTTTGAGTAATAAGTAATGTGCTAAAAATTATATAGGCATCCTAATACTAGCTAATAATTTTGAGCACTTCCTATATCTCTGACACCATTCTAAGCACTAGGTATAGTGACTTAATTATGAAAACAATAAGTGTTATTTTTATTATTATGCCCATTTAGGAAATGAGTGAACTGAGACATAGAGAAGTTAAGCGAACTTGTCCAAGATCACACAGCTGGCAAAAGACCCACCTGGGCTAACCCAAGTAGTCCAGCACCAGACTCTCAACCACTAGAATATATCACCTGGGGCTGGTGTGGTGGTGCACACATGTAAACCCAGTGACTCAGGAGGCTGAAGCAAGAAGATCACAAGTTTGAGGCCAGCCTCAGCAAATTAGCAAGACTCTAAGCAACTTAGTGAGACTGTCTCAAAATAAAAACTAAAAAGGGCTGGGATGTGGCTCAATGGTAAAGCACCCCTGGGTTCAATCCCCAGCACCAAAAAACGTCACTTGGGGGGTAGGGGGGTCACAGCAGAAATTTGAACCTGAGCAGTCTGACTCTAGGAACAATACTATCCAACATTCTATTCCCATGCCTGATAATTAGATTAACTGACATTTAGATGAGATGGACATAAATGTAATTCTCACTCTGCACATGAAGAGGAGGGGAAGAAGGTGAAAGCCATGCCAAGTGCCCAATTCAGATACTACTTTCTTTCTTCTACCTCCCTTTCTTTTTTTATCAGTTGATACTTACTTCTCACCTCTACGGTCTAGCTTGCCTAATTCAGTCGACTTCCAAAGCACTTTACAAATAATATTATTTTTATTTTTATTTACAAATAATATTATTTTTTTCAAATAATATGTACTAGGATACATTCTGTTGTGCATGGAACAGGCTGTCTGCAAGCTCCTCAAGGACAGAGACTGTGCCCATTCCAGGCCCTGGCCCTAACACTGACTTGATCAGTTAAAGATCTGTCTCTACATGCAGATCACTGCACACCCACCACAGGAATGCATGCCATTGTTTGTCTAATGACAATCTTGTGCACTGACTTGTGACCACAAGGGCAGGGACCCTCTATGTTGTTCCTCCCTACCTCCTGGCCTAGTGTTCAGCACCCAGGAAGCCACCTGTACACATATGTTGAATGAACAAAGATCAGATGCTTAAAGACCCAGCAGGGTGTAAGTTTATAAAGAAAAGTTCCATGCTTACCTCAATAACGCATATTTGGGGCTCTTCCTTATTACCATCCACAGGCACCTTGGCTTGGTTCATAACCCATTCTTGGATAGCATCAGTAATGTGGGGGACAACTGCAAAAAGAAGTAATAACAGCTTATTTCACACTCAAGAGAAAGGGAAGTACTTTAGAACTCTCAGGTGATCTGAAAGTCACCTGTCAAATTAGACAAGCTGCAGGTCTCATGCTTCCTTTACTGAAATGAGCAGGTACTGATGTAATTTAGGTTGAGTCACCTAAATGTTAGGCCTTTTCTTTTGAAACTGACCAGTCACAAAAGAACAAGACACAGAAAGTACAAGTGGCATCTGTGATGAAAACACCTATAATGCCTACTAAGAACCATGCAAGGAGGGATGCCAAGCAAGCTGAACGCTATACTCCACTGGGAAGGACACCCAGCTGGGGCACCAGGGGAGGCCACCGAGGTCCACTTCAAGAGCATGAGGGAAGCCTACCCACTGACCAGGAACCCCTGCAGGGGTGAAGAGGCCCATGACTGTTAATGTCAGAGGAAGAGGTCAAAGGGTGCATGTTCACCTACACTTAAAAACCAGGGGTCCCATAGGAGGTGAAAGGCCTAAAGTTGCTGGTCTCAGCTTTGAAGAAACAAAAAGGTGACATGTGCACAGGTTCACAGAGACTCAACCTCCTAACTTGATGCAGGAAGTAGAAACGATGGAATCTGGGAGGCTGAAATGAAGGAACAAGGAGTTCCAACTAGCCCTTAGGCTACACTGAATGAGAAAGTTGCCTGATTGGTGAACTCGGAACCATCCACTGCACACGTGCGCAGTGGGCCTCCACCTGGGGGCTAAGGAGTCAGAGCTCACAGGGCCCAAGTTAGGAGCCTTGCTCTCTCCCATCTTTGGGATGTGGCAAGTGTGAGGCAGCAACTCCACCTCCAATGGATCTTCCCAAGACCGTCACTTGGGGAAAAAAAAAAAAAAATCACCTCAGAAGCACAATTTAGCTGAGGTCTAAGCACACTGCCCTGTTTCACAGCTGATCTTCTGATCTCCAACTGTCTACTGCTCAACTGGCTCCAACTTGAAGATGATTTAAAGGGGATGGGAATTTTCACCTCCATAGGAAAATAAGGATACAAAACTCCAGAGGGGAGCTGGGGCTGTGGCTCAGTGATAGAGCGCTTGCCTAGCACATGTGAGGCACTGGGTTCGATTCTCCGCACTGCATATAAATAAGTAAATAAAGATTAAAAAAAAAAAAAACTCTAGACGGTACCAAAAGAGTTCCTTCTAAGACAAAATAGAATCATCCCACCCAGGAAAAAGGTTAGTAGAAAAAAAATGTCAGGAATCTGCAGATGGTGCTGCCTGACACTCCAGTTCAATCCTTCTATCCCTCCCCAGTGCTACTCCTCTTCAAACAGGCGTGATCACCACCCATGCAAATTATAAGAAAAATGAAGAATATATTAAATACAGATACATTAAATAAAAGACAAAAATAAGCTTTCCAATTAAAAAATAATTAAATGGTTCTCTGTAGATTTTCTGAACCAAAGCTGAAAGAGAGGGAAGAAGGGATGGGCTAAGGGGAACAATGACATTATTTTTGAAAAAAGAAGAAAGAGGAGGAGGAGGAGAAAAGAAACACTGATGAAAATAAAATCAGTAACATGGGGGGAGGGGTAAACTACATTTTTATGGAAAAGGAAAAAAAAATAGAGACTTCAAAAGGATTTGAATTTATGGAGCTTGGGGCCCAAGACATTTTTGCTCTATTTTTGAGCAGCCTGCTGGTTCTTGACACACAGGGTTCCATATTGTGTATGGAATACCTTGAACTGTTCTCCCCAAGTAATCACCACGCCTCTCTTTATTGATCACATGCTGATATATCTTCCCGGTGGTGATGTTGTTGTCTTTATAAAGGTTAATATCCAAGAATCTTTCATAATTTCCAAGATCTAAATCAACTTCTCCACCATCATTTAAGACAAATACTTCACCTAGGATAAAAGGCAATGTAGAAATTGATTACTTTTCCAAGATGGACACATTTTTATTAAAAAGCTGGTAAAAACTGTATTTATTAGCCGTATTCTACTACCATATTCTTATTTTGATGGGGAAATTTAAAATTTCAATTATATCTATGAAAATGCATTAGAAAAATTCTGGTATTCTATCATAGTATCTTTTTAGTCGCACTGAAATTCTGTCTTCGAGATTTAGCTTTTCCAAACTCCTCAGGTACCACTTGAAAAGAGAATTTTAAAACAGCAATTTTGAAAACAAATAGCAATTTACTTCAAGGCAACCATATCCTGGTCTCTGGAATTGGCATAAGGATATTCTCCTTGATTGTCATCTGGTTAAAGCCACTATTAGATGGTAGACAACAAACTCACAAAGGTCCATGGCTAGCCCATGGGAAAACTTTGTGAAATTAGGAAAAAGACCAGTGTGTGTACAATAAGCCACCTGCACAACAGCATTGTGACAAAGAATCTAGATATGGACTTTGTCACACTGCCTTTACTACTGGGTAGTCTCTGGATCTCCACTGTCACTTGAGGGTACTAATTGGGAGTTAGATGTTCTAAAGCCATCTTGTAAGAACTGAACCTCTCCCTAATCAAGAAACTCTCCTTTACTCCTACTGCTAGATGCTCACAACAAAAAATGAAGGCTGCCTAGTTTAGGAACCTAATCAAAAACTTCATTTACATCTTCATAAAATACATAAGTGTGACTGGGAAGATGAACTTAAGGATCAAAGAACACAACATGAAATTTAAATATTTTTATATTTTCCAAATTCCAGTTCAAATTCAAATTCTACTCTCTCATATTCATCAGGAATCACCAATCGATGGAAAAGTATTCCCCCTTTGATCTGTGTTCTTAAGTTCCAACACATTCTTTGGGGGATGGGGGTGGGAGTGCACAACCTCTGAAATTTCTTCAATTACTTCACGTTAAATCCAGGTTGGCAAAACTCCATGTATATGTCAAAGTCTCAAATGTCCAAATTACCAAATGTTAAAAATATGCACATATTATATTCTTAGAAAAGAAAAATGAACTATAAAAACAGTTTTTTAGATATGTCATATAATAAAATTCCAGTAGATTTTATCTTGACAAAGACACTGAAGTTAATTTGGAAGAAAAATAGGTGAGATTACCAAAACCAAAAAAAAAAAGGAATATACCCTGTAAAGAATCCTAGTGAGGATGGACAAAGTGGCACACACCTGTAATCCCAGCAGCTCAGGAAGCTGAGGCAGGAGGATGGAAAATTCGAGGCCAACTTGGGCATTTAGCAAAATCCTGTCTCAAAATTAAAAATAAGCACCAGGCATGGTGATTCACTCCTATAATCCTAGCAACTTGGGAGGTTGAGGCAAGAGGATCCCAAATTCAAAGCCAGCCTTCAGCAACTTAGCAAGACGCTTTTTCTTTTTTATTTATTTATTTACTTACTTATTTTTTACATTAATCTACTCACACAGTCATGGCAGCAAGACCCTTTTTCTAAATAAAAATTAAAAAGGGTCGTTGGGCTGGGGTTGTAGTTCAGTGGTAGATCACTTGCCTAGCATGTGTGAGGCACTGTGTTCAATCCTCAGCATCACAAAAAAAATAAATAAATAAAATAAAGAATATTTGAAGTATGATATTCCCTTAAAAATGCCCCCCCTTGGGGAATTGTTGCTCAGTGATTGGGCACCCCTGGGTTCCATCCCCAGTATCCAAAAAAAGAAAGAAAAAGAAAACAAGTAACCTCCAAGTCTCCCAACTTAGAAAACATATTTATTTCTCCCTCATGAGGGACTGTGGGTTAGTTGAGAGTCTATTCTTTATGTCTCCTCTTTCCAAGACCCCTGATGAATAAGAAATTCCTATACAGAGCAAGCTGTTCTCATGGCAGATGGCAGAAGCACAAGAGAAACTGAACCAAATCGTGCATCTGCATTTAACATTTCTCCTTCGACAAGGCATGTCACATTTGCTAATGTCTCAAAGGGCAAAATAAATCACATTGCCAAAGAGAATGACCAATCTCTTCCATTAGCCTAGGACTAAGGGAGTTTCAGTTTTAAAGCCTGGAAGGTTCCAAACAAAACAGGAGAAGCTAGCCACCCCAAGTGGCCAAAGTCTAACGTCTAGAGGTGGGGAACATACTCCACAGAAGGATGTTGGGTGATCTATTCAAACAAAAATACAATCTCTAGACTTGAGTAAGTCATTCACAAGATCAAAATCAAAGAAATCTAAATTAAAACAACAAAATATTTTTTGTTTGTTTTACTGTCAGGTTAATAAAGTTTAAAAATAATATTCAGCAAGGAGACAAGGAAATTGACATTGTTTCACGTATGGTGCAGATTCACAGTCCTCATCAGAAAATCCTTGGGAACAAGATGGATGTTGGAATTTGAACTTTTTGGGATTATAGAATGTAATATAGAACATGTCCCATATATCAGAAAATACTCCATAGTTGCTGAATGTGGTGGCACATGCCTGAAATCCCAGCAACTCAGGAGGCTGAGACAGGAGAATTGCAAGTTCAAACCCAGCCTCAGCAACTTAGCAAGGTCTTCAGCAATTTAGTGAGACCCTGTCTCAAAATAAAAAAGTAAAAAGGGCCAGAGATTTGGCTCAGTGGTCAAGGGCCCCTGGATTCAATCCCTAGTACCAAAAAGAAAGAAAGAAAAATACCCAATGGGCTATGGGTGTAGCTCAGTGGTACAGTGCTTGCCTCCATGCTCAAGGCCCTGAGTTCCATCCCAGGCACTGCCAAAAAAGAAAGAAAGAAAGAAAAAATAATAATACCCCCATAATCAAATACATTACAAATGAAATAAAGTGAAATAAAATCTATAAGGCTGGTAATATAGCTCAGTTGTTAGAGTGCTTGCCTCGATTGCAACAAGGCCCTGGGTTTGAACCCCAGCACCACAAAAAAAAAAAAAGAAAAGAAAAAAATCTATAGCCACAAACTATTTGTTTTCAGAAATTTTGACTGCCAGGCATGGTAGTGCATACCTATAATCCCAGCCACTCTAGAGGCTGAGGCAGGAGAATCACAAGTTCAAAGCCAGCCTCAGCAACTTAGCAAGGCACTAAGAAACTCAGCAAGACCCTGTCTCTAAATAAAACACAAAAAAAGGGCTGGGGATATGGCTCAGTGGTTGAATGCTCTGGGTTTAATCCCTGGTATTAAAAAAAAAAAAAAAAAAACCCACTACAAATAGCCATAAAATTACAAAGTATTTTAAATTTTCAGAACTTTTCAGACTTCAGAGTTGAAGACAAGGGATAGTGAACCTAAAAACCTTTAGCAATATACATTCTGTGGGCTGGGGCTGTAACTCAGTGATGGAGACTTGCCTAGCATGCACGAGGCCCTGGGTTCCATCCCCTGCACTGGAAAAAAGAACAAAATATGCATTATGTATTAAAAGACTGAAAAACATCCTTACTTTTCAAATCAGAACTTTATGCACCTAGAAATGCATGCTTAAAAAATTAAATCTTATAGATTTCTAGCATGGTGTTGTTTACAATGTCAATGAATTAGAAATCATTTTCTGTTATTATATAGGTTCTGTGCAGTGTAGAATATATAAATATGTCCATAGTATATTAAATTTTAAAAATTAGATTAAAAAGTATTGCGGCTGGGCACAGTAGCCCACACCTTTAATCCCAGCTACTAGAAAGGCCAAGGTAGGAAGAACACAAGCTCAAAGTTAGTCTAAGCAATTTAGCAAGACCCTGTCTCAAAGTAAAATAAAAAGGGCTGGGGATGTAGCCCAGTGGTAGAACACTGCCTAGCATGCATGAGGCCTGGATTCAATCCCCAGTACCACAAGAAAAAGAAAAAAAAGACACAAAAAAGATATTATAACTGTAAAATTCAACTAAATTCAAAGTTTAAATGAAAGTTCAAAACCAAGTAAAATTAGCTGGGCGTGGTGGTGCACTTGTAGCCCCAGCTATTTAGGAAGCTGAGGCAGGAAGATTGCTTCAACCCAGGAGTTCAAGACCAACCTGGACAACATAACAAGACCCTGTCTCCGCCCCCACCCCACCCCCAAAAAAGCAAAACTAACGCACAGTGTCAGAAGACATGATAGCAGTTTTCTTGGGAGTTTGGGATTGAGAACAAAGGACACAAACAGGATTTCTGTTCCTTGATCAGAGGCTGGTTATATAATAGGTTCATTTAGTGAATATTCATCAAATCAGGACTTATGATTATGCACTTTTCTGCTTGTATGTAAAAAAACGTTTTTTAAAAAATGTTTTCTCGGGCTGGGGATATAGCCCAGTTGGTAGAGTGCCTGAGTAACATTCACAAGGCCCTGGGTTCAGTCCCCAGCACCACCTAAAAAAAAAAAAAATGTTTTCTCTCATATGCAGAAACTAGAGCAAAATAAGGGGTAAAAGGCGGGGCACCCCATGAAGACAGAAGGGAGATCAGTGGAATAAAGGAGATCAGTAGAATAAAGACAGGTGTGGTGGCACACACCTGTAATCCCAGCAGCTTAAGAGGCTGAGGCAGGAGGACTGCGAGTTCAAAGCCAGCAGAAAGCAAGGTGCTAAGCAATTCATTGAGACCCTGACCCCTGTCTCTAAATAAAATACAAAATAGAGGGGCTGGGGATATAGCTCAGTTGGTAGAATGCTTGCCTCGCATGCACAAGGCCCTGGGTTCAATCCCTAGCACCACCAAAAAAAAAAAAAATACAAAATAGGGCTGGGGCTCAGTGGTCAAGTGCCCCTGAGTTCAATCCCAGTGCCAAAATAAATAAATAAATAGATAAATATAAGGAATACCAGTACAGCAGAGGAAGAGAAGGAGGGGAGGGAGAGATGGTGGGGACTGAAATGGAACAAATTATATTCCATGCATGTATGATTATGTCAAAATGAACTCAAATATTATGTATAACTATAATGCACTAATGAAAACATGAAAAAAAAACTATGTAAAGGCTCATGCCTTTTTTGGTAATTAATATATACATCAAAATGTCAACATTAATAATAGTTACCCCAAGCAGTGGGAAATGTTAACAGAAATATATAACCTTTACGATAAAATAAAACAAAACATAATCCATAGCAGAAGACACAATGTTCTAAAAGGGTTGGCTAACTTGGAATGTTATCAGTAATCTGAAATACTATCAATGACCATAAGCACATCGACACATTCCTAAGGCCTGACCCAGCAAGCCTACTTCTGGAACTCTGTCCTAAAGAAACAGATCAAAATACAAGAAAGAAATGCAGTTTAGTGCAGTGCTTTATAAAGAAGGAAATGATCCTTTCATACCGTGTTCGTAAGGTGAAAAAGTCCCGGCATCAATGTTAATATAGGGGTCGATTTTGATGGCAGTAACTCGGAGTCCACATGATTTGAGAATCGTCCCAATGCTGCTGGCAATGATTCCTTTACCAATGCCGGAGATGACCCCACCAGTAACCAGGATATACTTCATTGGTGAAAGAGTGGCTGGTTGCCAGCACCCAGGTATAATCTGACAGGCAATAAAATTAATAGTCAAGGAAGAGAAACATTTTCTCAAAGCATCAAAGTGCATTAAACTAGAATTTCAAAAGCACATAGCATTGCATTTTTCTACTTGAACTAAATACCCGAAACTTTTGTATAATCTAGTGGGCTTTTAATTGTTGTCACTATACAGAAAGCTGAGGACTGGGGATATAGCTCAGTTGGTAGAGTGCTTGCCTTGCATGCACAAAGCCCTGGGTTCAATTCCCAGTATCACCTAAAAATTTAAAAAAATAATAAGTCAGAAAGTAAAGTGGCTGGCTCTGTACCTTGGCCAAATGTATCACAAGAAATCAAATTTCCCTGGGAATCAGAGGCATAGTAAAATGTTTACAAGTTCAGACTCTAAAGTCAGACAGATGTATACAACCTACACGTAGGCAAGTATTTGTCCTTTCCATGCCTGCTTCTTTTAAAAAAAAAAATTAGTTGTATATGGACACAATATATTTTTATGTGGTGCTGAGGACCGAACCTAGTGCCTCACACATGCCAGGCAAGTGCTCTACCATTGAGCCACAACCCAAGCCCCCATGCCTGCTTCTTCATCTGTAAAATGGAATAACGATACCAAATGCTTGGAATATTATTTGATGCTAAAAAGAAATGAGTTATCGGGCTGGGGCTGTAGCTCAGTGGTAGAGCATTTGCCTTGCATGTGTGAGGCAATGGGTTCGATCCTCAGCACCACATAAAAATAAATAAAGATATTGTATCTACCTACAACTAAAATAAATAAATAGAATAATTCTTCTCTCTTGCAAACTTATCCTGGTTTTTTTTTTTTTTTTAAAAAAAAGAAAGAAAGAAAAAGAAAAAGAAATGAGCTATCAAGCCAGGAAGACATGGAGGAATTTTAAATGCATGTTACAAAGTGAAAGAAGCCAATCAAAAAAAGCTACATACTGTATGACTTCAACTATATGACATTTTGGAACAGGCAGAACTACAGCAACAGTAAAAAAAGATCAGTGGTTGCCAGGGAGTAGGAGGGAGATACGGATGAATAGGCAAAACATGAGGGATTTTAAAGGCAGTGACACTATTCTCTGTATGATATGATAATGGTGAACACATGGCATTACACATTTGTCATGACAAAGATTCTTTGCTTGGCCAAACTTCTGAATATCCTGTACACTTTCATGTAAAGCCAGTTTTAGCAAAGAACCCTGCTAAGTCCATTTAGCAAGAACACTGCACCCTCAATATTTGATCATCATTGATATCTGATCAGAGTCCTCATTCTGCGCCATCTCCCATGTGATGTGTGATCCTAGTCTGTCCCTCTTACTGCTGTTATATTCTTTTTCCCATCCCCTGGCCACTATGCCCCAACACCCTGCTCCTCAGGTATAAATTCCCCCTTTTCCATGCTATATTTGGAGTTGAGCCCAATCTCTCTCCCCTGATTCCAGACCCCATTGCAGTGGTCCTAATGCAATGGCCCTGAAAAAAACTCTTCTTATAGTGCTTTAACAAGTGTCATTGAACGATTTTTTTTTTTTTTTTTTTTAACAATTAAGGTACCAAAGCTCAGATAGGATCAGCTTCATCATTGATTCCCTGAGCCTCTCACCCAGGACCCAAAGTAAGTGCCTTTGCAGGCTTTGTCTTCACTCTTTTTTAAAAAAAAAATATTTATTTTTTAGTTTTCGGTGGACACAACATCTTTATTTTATTTTTTATGTGGTGCTGAGGATCGAACCCAGCGCCCCGTGCATGCCAGGCAAGCGCGTTACCGCTTGAGCCACATCCCCAGCCCTGTCTTCACTCTTGATTGACTGATCTGGGATTCATTCATCCGTGAGTCAGAACCATTGACTGTTACTGGCTGCTTTCACACTAGGGTGGCACAGTTGAATCTGGTGCCAACCAAGACATTCCGTCCCACAAAGCCTGAAATATTTATTACCTGACTTTTACAGAAAAACGTTTTCTGATGCCTGATGTTATGGGGAGGGCATAGAGTAAAAGCTTAAGATTTGAGGCCGGGAGTGTAGCTCAGTAGTAGAGCCCATGCCTAGCATGCAAGGGGCCCTAGGATCCATCCTCAGTGACAATAAAAAAGAAAAACATAAAGATGGCTATTAAGTATTTTTATTTTTTTACATTTATTTTATTTATTTATATGTGGTGCTGAGGATGGAACCCAGGGCCTCGAACATACTAGGCGAGCACTTTACCACTGAGCCACAACTCCAGCCCCAGCTATTAACTATTAACATCTTTTTGCTTTTTGATTGTTGTTGTTGTTTTCCAGTGCTGGAGATGGAACCCAGGGCCTCTTGCCTGCTAGGCAAGTGCTGTACCACTGACCAACACCCCCCATTTATGGTTATTATTTATTATTATATCTTATATTATTATGAATATATCCATTTTAACTAAGAGTGCTGAACATAATCTTTTTCATTATTCAGTTTTACTACTGAAGAATATCCAAGCCAGGTGTGGTGGCACAAGCCTATAATGCCAAAGACTTGGGAGGCTCAGGCAGGAGGATCCCAAATTCAAGGTCAGCCTGGGCAATTTAGCAAGACCCTGTCTCAAAAAAAAAAAATGTTTCTTTATAAACTAGGGGTTGTGGCTCAGTGGTAGAGTGCTTGCCTCATACATGGGAGGTACTGGGTTTGATCCTCAGCACCACATAAAAACAAATAAATAAATTAAAGGTATTGTCTCCACCTACAACTAAAAAAGTTTTTAAAACAACTGAGGGTGCTGGGGTTGTGGCTCAGTGGTAGAATGCTTGCCTTGCATGTGTAAGGCCCTTGATCCTCAGCACCACATAAAAATAAATAAATAAAAATAAAAATATTGTGTCCATCTACAACTAAAAAAAAAAAACGGGGGGTAGCCGGCTATGATGGGACATGTCTATAATCCCAGTGGTTCCAGAGGCTGAGGCACGAGGATCACAAATTCAAAGCCAGCATCAGCAACTAAGGCACTAAGCAATTCAGTGAGACCCTGTCTCTAAATAAAATACAAAATAAAACTGAGAATATGGTTCAGTGGTTGAGTGGCCCCGAGTTCAATCCCCAGAGCCCCCCCCAAAAAAAAAAACTGAGGATATAGTTCAGTGGTAAAATATCCCTGGATTCAATCCCCAGTACCAAAAAAAAAAAAAAAAAATCCCAAAAGGAAAATTAAAAGAAAATATGTTAGGCTGGGGTTGTGGCTCAGTGGTAGAGCATTTGCCTAGCACATGTGAGGCACTGGGTTCAATCCTCAGCACCATACACAAAACAATAAAGAATTGTGTCCATCTACAACTAAAAATATTTTTTTTAAAAAAGAAAATATGTCCTAAGGAATTTTTATTTTTCTTCTGTTGTCTGATGCAAATGTTTAACAAGTCAAATATCTTGATTTTCTTTGAGTACCATCATTTTCCCTTGAGTGTGTGCAGAGGCCATCTGCTCTTGTAATTTTACCAGTACAACAAAGTACTTCCTTAATGGTATTATTTGTGTAGTCGTGGCAGGCAAATGGGCAATTCCTTGAGACTGCTAATATGAAATTACAACTGCCAAAAAAAGAGAAACTAACAAAAGTTAATAACTATACATCTCATTTTTTTGTTACAATTCACACATTTTTTTAAAGTACTTGGAAATTAAGCATAAATGCATTCAGGTGGAAACAATTTCAGTTACCCATCCATTATTTGTATCTCTTCCTCAAAGAAATGCCCATACTGATTTTGTACCTTCCTCTGCTTATCTTTCAAAACAAACTATCTTAACAGCTACCACACTTAAGACTAATCTCACTTCAGAGCTATGAGTTTCATTTGAAATAGCTATTGGTCAGCTGAACTAAGATATACTTGTTCCATCCCAAATGTCCTCCCTAAATCCCTGGGCCTGCCTTACTCTACCATGGTATGGTCACATTCAGAATCACTACACTTCTTCCTACTAATCTGATCTATATATTTATAGCCTAAATGATTCTCATTCCAAACCCAGAATTCTCTTGTAAATCCCAAATGTAATTGATATTCATATCTTTCCACTTTTATTGCTCCATATCTTACTTATCCCACTATTGATCTATAGTCAGACAAACTAGATTCACTTACATCTATGATCCTAAACAAATTCTTTAACTTTTCAAAACCTTATATTCCTCAATTCATGCAATATACAGGGCTAAAGACAGTAGCTACCTTAGAGAGCTGTGCAAGAATTTACAAACAGGGTGCCTAAGGGCAAAATGGCGTCCAGCTGTTATTCTTCACATCCACCTATTTATTGATTCCATCAGTGAGCTCACAAGTGTTTATTGAACACTTATTTCATGCTTGATGTGTTCCCAGGTCCTAGGGATGAGGGATGAACAAAAAGTCAAGGTTCTGCCCTCTTGGAGTTTACTTTTCTTGTGAGATTAAGGGGCAAGTAAACTGTCATACTGTTCAAATGACTTCCTGTTTGTTAAAGTCAGCAAAAATCAAAGTGTGCCATGAAAGTAATGGTCAAGAAAACTGGAAGACAATCATGTGAAGTCACAAGATGCCAGATAATTTTTCATATAAGAAAATGCTTATTTTATGTGGAAAAAATGCAGGTATAAAATTGAATAAAAATATCTCAAATATGCTTTTTAAAATTAAGATAAGTCAGGCATGGTAGCACATGCCTGTAAGTCCCACCACGCAGGAGGATTGCAAGTTCCAGGCTAGATTGGGAAATTTAGTTAGACCCTGTCTCAAAATAAAATAAAAAGGGCTGGGGATGTAGCTCAGGTATAGTACACCATGGGTTCAATCCTCAGTACCTCAAAAAGGAAAGAACAACAGGGGGAGGGGGAAGGGGAGAGACAGAGAAAATAAATAAATAAATAAAAGCACTGGGGATATAACTCAGTGGTAGAGCGACCCTAGGTTCAATTCCCAGTACCAAATATATATATATAAAATTAAGATCAAAGTCGTAACTGTCAAGATCTTAATTTGATAGAAAATAATACACCATTTTCCTGTGTAATTCTACATCATGTACAACCAGACAAACAAGAAGTTATACTCCATTTATGTATGATGGGTCAAAATACATTCTGTCATGTCTAACTAATTAGAACAAATTAAAAATTTTTAAAAATACACCATGTTAAATTTTAATATATTTAGGTGATTGGGTTTTAGACAATTATTAGTTTTCAGTATTTCAAAAACACAAGATTCCCTTTTAAGGTACAAGAGTCCTTTTTGAAAAATATAACTTAATAGTAAAAGGTGGGCCTAATTCTACCTCATCTCAACAAACAAGTAAGTTTGAAAGAAGTTTTAAAACTGCAAGGTAGGCTGTTTGAAATCACTTCCTCCAATAAGGATGATTTCTGGTATGAAGATCCAAGTTTTTCATTTACTCAAATGTGGTGAACAGAACCAAATAGGAAATAGAACAGTGTTAGCAGAGCTGCCTGATAAAAATACTACACAGTAAGTCAGGTTAGTAATTTAAAATTTTCTAGTAGCCACGTTTAAAAAATAAAGAGAGGGCTGGGGTTGTGGCTCAGTGGTAGAGCACTTGCCTGGCATGTGTGAGGCACTGGGTTCAATCCTTAGCATCACATAAAAATAAATAAACAAAATACATATATTGTGTCCATCTACAACTAAAAAAATATATTTTAAAAATAAAGAGAAATGAGGTTAATTTTAATAACATATCTAACTCAATGTATTCACAATTATAATTAATAAAAGAATTCAGGTGTAAGATTGTTCCTTTTTTGTTTTGTTTGGCAGCACTGGGGATCCAATCCAATGGTGCTTTATTACTGAGCTACAATTCTGACCCTTTCTTTATTTTTTTGAGACAGGGTCACATTAAGTTGCCAGGTCTGGCCTGGAACTTGCAATCCTCCTGCCTCAGCCTCCCCAGTCACTGGGCTTACAAGCCAGCACCACGGCGCCCCTCATGTTACCACCTTTTACTAATCAGGTGCTTTTACTTAAGCATATCTCTATTCAGATTTGCCAACTTTCAGGTGTTCAATGGCCACATGTGGCCAGTGACTCCTACATTAGATCAGAAAAGCAAAGAGCAACTAAAAGCACCCAGAGGCACCAAGGTACACCTTCTCAATAACCGCCATTTACAAACCAATGTAAGTCAAACACAACAGAGTACTTTCTGAAAGAGCCCATTTTATGAAGTTCAAAATTTACAGGCAAAACTAAGCCAAGAACAGCAATCAAAACAGTGCAGGGGTGGGAAGGTGGAGTTACTGGAAAGGGGCACAAGGGAACTTTCTGGGGTGATATAAATGGTCTTAAGTCTATGATGGGTGGTAGTTAATGGATGTATAATTTGTCAGTCCCATCGATCTGCAGACTTAAAACGTGGCATTTTATTGTATATAAACTATGCATTGATTTTTGTTGTTTAATTTTTCCCCAAAAAGCTATTTTGTAGCAATAGCGTAGTTCTGCACTCTGAGCAGTAACCAGCTAATACACCAGGAATGCGAGGGTCGTTGTTTAACCGGGGCAGTAGGGCCAGGAGAGAACAGAAAGACCTTGTTCCTTAAGCTGATCACCAGCCTCGCCCGATTCCCGCGCGGGGCTTCACTTCCGCCAACGCCATCTCAGGGCTCTGGGGGGGCAGGAGAAATGGGGCTGGGGGCGCGGGTGGCGCGGGAGTGCGCCCCAGGGACGTGCCGCTCCCGACCCCGGACCACCGGCAGCCTCAGGACTGTCTCTGATCGCCCTGGGCAAGAGTGGGCGTCCAGCCGGGCCGCGAAGGTCTGCAAGCGCGAAGTGCAGGGCGCACTCCGCTGCCAGCGGGACTCGGACTCTGCGCCAGGGAAGGCGCGGGCGCCATCGCGAGGGGACAAAGGCTCCTAGCTCTCCAGTGCATAGGGACTAGGGGAGTAGGACGGGGGCAGGGAGGCCCGGGAGGCTCGGGATGGCCCAGGCGCCGCGGCCCTGGGGGTCGGGGGAAGGCCCAGCAGGGGAGTTACCTGCGCAGTGGTGCTGGCGCCTTGCAGGGAGGCTGGTGCGGGCTCCGCCCCGCGGCCAGCCTGGCGCTCACCTGTCGAGCTGAGAAGGGGGCCGCCTCTGGGGTTGTCCGGAGTCGCCACCGGGTCCTTCCTGCCGCCCGCACCGCGGAGCCCTCCTCGCCCACCTTCCCCTCTCCGCTTGGCTACTGGCCTCGCTGACTCACGCTAGTGAGCTTGGGTTTGCAACCGTGTTTTGTGCGATCGTCCAAAACAAGCGCCTAAAAAGTGATTCCTCCGGACACAGGCAGCTCCCGACACCCCCTGCTCTGGCCGCCCTTGGCCTCAGGCCTCGCTCAGCCCAGGCCTGCTCCTCCCTCCCTCTCGTGGCTCACTTTGCACAGACACTTCGGGTGTGCAGTGAATTCCACGGTTCCCGCCGAGATCTGGTTTCCCGGCCAACCGAGACCTTCAATCGGGTCCCCCGCGAACTTCACTCGCCACAGTCGTTTGTGGATCACTAGAATGCGGGAATTCTCTTTCCTCCTAAGAAGATTTAGGAGGAAAACAAAAGGGTATTTCTGCCCTAGTTGAGCTCAGGTCTGGTGGGAGGTTTACATATCTATCTATGGGAAGCAGTGAATTTCCATAGAACAATACTTGCTACTGCGCATCAGGGACGACGCGGGGCGGGGGGTGGGGGGGGCAACTAAGACTTTACAGAGTGACTTTTTTTTTTTAAAGTGTTTGTAGGATGGTTGGTACTAGGAAGGGACCTGGAAGGTTGTTTAGGCGAACACAAAACTGTAAACAAACCTCTGAAGGAGAAAGACTAACTGAATAGAAAGAGTTGAAGTAAACCAAAGATTCAGGATAGTCGTAAAATTTTTAATTACCAGTGTGAGACACTAGCGCGACAAGTTACACCTAGTGGAGTTTAGACATTATAATTGTGAGTTGGGGGGCGAGGTGGGGGTGCATGCCTGTAATCCCAGCAACTCTCAGAGGTTGAAGTAGGGAGGCTGAGGCAAGAGGATCAAATTCCAGGCTAGTCTGAACAACTCATCAAGACCCTGTCTAGAAATGAACTTTAAATAGGACTTGACATATACTTAAGTGGTAGAGACCTGACCTACTTGCAAGCCCCTGGGTTCTATCCCCAGCAAGGGCACAACAGGAATAATAATTGTGTAGTGCTGTCCAGTTATAATTTTGCAACATATCTATATCTATCAGTAGATAAAGATCTGATTGGTAAGACCAGAGTTTGCTGGTGGAGTCCAGTAGGGCAAGAGGAAGGTGCAGAAGTGGACAGTGCTAGAAGGATGCAATTGTAGTAATGGATGACCGGTCTAGTCCTAGAGGACAGGAACTGAAACCAGCAGAGAACTGATAGGCTGAGAGAAAGGAAAGAGAAAGGCCCAAAGAGAGTACTAGAGGACTGGCCAGTTGGCAGCAGTGTGATATTGGAGGCAAAGATTTCAAAGCTGAAGCAATTCAGGAGCTAGTTGCGGTAGCACAGACCTGTAGTCCCAGCAATTCAGGAGGCTCCCAAGTTCCAAACCAGCCTCAGCATTTGAGCAAGACCCTGTCTCCCCCATACACACTGGGAATTGAAGTCAGGGGCACTCAACCACTGAGCCACATCCTAGCCCTATTTTGTATTTTATTTAGAGACGGTCTCACTGACTTGCTTAGCGCCTCACTAAATTGCTGAAGCTCACTTTGAACTCACGATCCTCCAGTCTCAGTCGCCCGAGCTGCTGGGATTATAGGCGTGTGCCGCCACGCCTGACTGCAAGACCCTGTCTTTAAATATAGATAGAGAGAGAGAGATAGAGATAGATAGATAGATAGATAGATAGATAGATAGATAAATGGGGCTGGGGATGTAGCTCAGTGGTAAAGCGCCCATGGGTTCAATCCCTGGTACCAAAAGATATAAAAAGGCTGGGCACTGTGGCACATGCCTGTAATCCCAGCAGCTCAGGAGGCTGAGACAGTAGCATTGGGAGTTCAAAGCCAGCCTCAGCAATTTAGCGAGGTACTAAGCAACTTGTGAGATCCTGTGTCTAAATAAAATAAAAAATAGGGCTGGGGAGCTCAGTGATTGAGTGCCCCTGGTTTCAATCCCTGGTACAAAAAAAAAAAATTACACACACACAAAGCAATTCCAGAAGATGAAACAAAGAGATGGCTGCTGAAATGGAATAGAAAAGTGAGATGGGGATGCCAGGACTAGGGTCTAGTGCCTGGAGGCCCTCTTTTTGAACATGGTGGAAGGGGGCAGAAGGATGGTGAACAGAGCTTACTCCATCGAGACCAAGGAACTTCCGGGGAATGTGGGGGAGTGTCCCCGAAGCTGACAGATGACTGCAACTAAGAAGGTTGCCTGGTGCCGGGGGAGGGTTGCTAATGCCTGTAATCCCTGTGACTTGGGAGGCTGAGTCAGGAAGATCACCAGTTCAAAGCCAGCCTAAGCAAAAAGTAAGGCCCTAAGCAACTCAGTGAGACCCTGTCTAGTATGCTGTTTTTAAGTCCTTTGGGTATAGACGAAGGAGTGGGATAGCTGGGTCAAATGGTGGTTCCATTCCCAATTTTCCAAGAAATCTCCATACTGAAAAGCTAATGAATTTCTAAGCTAAGCAGATCTTTCCCCGCCACAGATTAAAGAGTAGTGTTATGGAAGAAACAGGAGGAGCTTGGGATACTGAGTTCTTTTGGGAAAATAAGCAGAGACATCACTTAGCAGGGTATCCTTGCAGAAGACCCCAGGTCTCCCCCCAATCCTGCCCCAGTGGGGGAGAATAAAATAAGATTACCTTGTAAAAAGGCTGGAAGCACAGAGAAGCTTGTTAATGAAACAAGTCTTCTTACAGAGGGCAGAGTGGAAGGGATGCTTTTAAAGGGATTGATGTGGATAATAATACTTTACACCTGGGGTGTTTGTAAGGTTCCCTTGCACATTTCAGAACTTCACTTTCCGTTTACCCTTTTTGGAATGAGGAACCCGAGGCTCTGGTATTACACTCACCTGTAATACCAGAGACTCTCGAGGCCCGGGCTGGGGATGTAGCTCAATGATAGAGTGCCCCTGGGTTCAATTCCAGTGATGGAAAGGTCTTGACCAAAGACAATTAGTTAATATGAGTAGCAAAGCCAGGGGCATCAATATCAAATGTCTGGCCCCACAGCCAGACTCTTCATCACGGGATACAGGACCTGATCCAGTTATCTTATTCTATTATTCTATGAGGCTAGTGGATGAAACATATTTTGCAAATACAAAGGAAGGGGGCTATTATGGTAAATATTGCATCTGGAGTTTGGAAATTTAACTATGACCTGGGCACAGGGCACAGTTCATGAGCATCTGCTCATGAAAAACATAAACAGAAAAAAAAATTTTTTTGATAAGAGTGCATATTGAGGGGCTGGGGATGTGGCTCAGTGGTAAAACCCTTGGTTAGGGTGAAAAAAAAGAAAGAGCAGATTGATCAGGTACAATGGCACTCACCTGTAATACCAGAGACTCTCGAGGCCTGGGCTGGGGATGTAGCTCAATGACAGAGTGCCCCTGGGTTCAATTCCCAGTGATGGAAAAAAATGGGGGGGGGCAGATTGACTGAATTGTACATGATAAAGATGTGTCCTCATTCAGTAGGTGTCTATTCATGGACTACTACCCACATGACATTGTACTGGACCCTCAATCTGATTTTTTTAAAAAAAGAAGCCGGCGTGGGGGGCACACCTGTATTCCCAGCTGCTTGGGAGACTGAGGCAAGAGGATCGTGAATTCAGAGCCTGCCTCAGCAATTTATCCAGGCACTACGTGACTCAGTGAGACCTTCTCAACAAGAAATACAAAAAGGCTAGGGTGTGGCTCAGTGGTTAAGTGCCCCTGGGTTCAATCCCCTGTACCCCCCCAAAAAAAGCCATACACACACACACACACATATACATATACACATACACACATTTACCATTGAATTATACACTTTTAAACATGTCAGTAAAGCTGAGACGGGGAAAAAAACAGGTCAGGCTTGTTAAGATAAAGTCCTGAACCTGAATAAAATGTAAATATAGTTCAGTTTGGAATCATTGGCAACCATCCAGAATAGATTGCTGGAGTTGTTTGTGTGTGTACGTGTGTGTGTGTGTGTATGTGTATATATATGTATATATGTAATAGACATAATCATCCAGCGTCAATAATTACCAACACATGGCCAGAGTTGTCTAATCTATTACCTGTCCATTTGCCCCCAATTTACCCCCATCTTGTATTAATTTGAAGCAAATTCCATACATGGTATCATTTCTTTGGTCAATTCCTCAGTACAGTACAATTTATATTTAAAATATAAAACTTTAAGAACATACATATATAATACCATCACCACTTTTTTTTTTGTACTGGGGATTGAACTTAGGGGCATTTAACACATCTTGGTCCTTTTATTTTTTATTTTAAGACAGGGTCTATGGGGCTGCGGTTGTGGCTCAGCGGTAGAGCGCTCGCCTTGCACTTATAAGGCGCTGGGTTCGATCCTCAGCACCACATAAAAATAAATAAATAAAATTAAAAAAAAAAAGACAGGGTCTAAGTTGCTGAGGACCTCTCCAAGTTGTAGAGGGGCTGGCCTTGAATTTGTCATCCTCCCCCAGCCTCTGGAGTAGATGGGATTACAGGTGTGCTCCACTAAAACTTTTCAAATTTTCACAATTCCTTAATTTCACAATTATTCAGTGTCCAAATTTCCAATTATAAGCATCATAATTTTTTTCAAAGTTTCTGCTGAATTAGGATCCTAATAAAATGCACAAGTAGCCTCTTTTCTCCCTGTGTTCTAGGGACAAACGAGGCAAGGCACCAAAGACAGCAGGAACAGTTTTATTTGGCTGCAGCCAGGTTCAGAGGGCATAGCTTTTGCTGTAATCAATTAATCCCCTGAACCCCGAGTTCAGGTAGTTTTATACCCAGCATGTAAAGGGAGGGGCTCAAGTTCACAGTCTGCAGAAGCAGCAGCTTTCTCTTTCACTGTTTTGAGCAAGTTAACCCTTCAAGGACAACACCTGGGAAGGGGAGAGCTTCTTCTTCCTTTCTTTCCTCCCCCTGCCAGCTGTTACCATGGAGTCCAATTGCTAACTTATCTTAAAAATGTAGACATCTCTGTGAAGCCCAGCTCAAGGCCAGAGGCCTTGTTTGCACAGTTCTACAAAGTACTATACTAGATACGTTTGTGAAAACTAGTAAGGGGTGTCCAGCACCTGGAGTGCTGGTATCTTCTTGGCCAGTGGCCAAATAAAACAGGGC